TGTTTGTAACAGTTTTTATTCATAATAGCCAATAAGCGGAAACAAGTATCTATCAACTGATAGGCAAGCAAAATAAATGGATAAACAAAAATGTGGTATATCCGTACAATGGAATATTATTTGGTCATAAAAAGGAATTGAGTACTGACACATGCTACAACATGGATAAACCCTGAAAACATTATGCTAAGTGAAAGAAGCCAGACAAAATAATGCCACACAATGTATGATGCATTTATATGAAATATCCAGCATAGGCAAATCCATAGACAGACAGCAGATTAGAAAGCTGGGGAGGGGCGAGGGGGAAGGGGGTAGGTGGAGTGATTACTACTGAGCGTAAGGTTTTTTTCTGGAGCAATGAAAATGTTTTGGCATTAGACAGCGGTGATGATTGCACAACCCTGTGAATATAGTAAAAACCACTCAGTTAACACTTAAACGTGTACTTTAAAGTGGTGAATTTTATAGTATGTGACTCATAATTCAATTTTTTTTAATGAAGGCAATTTCAACTTCTAACAATGATGGAATAATAGGGCAGAATTTACCCTCCCATCTTAAACAACTAGGAAACTGAACAAAATACATGAAATAAAATTTTCAGACAACAGATACTGAAAAATAGCACAGGAGAAAGAAAATAAAGAAAATGAGCTTAACAACTATCCCAATTTACTGCCGGAAGACAATTTTCCAGCTGAAGCAGAGCAAAGGCAAAAAGGACAGTCTCTCTGAAGTGTGGAAACAGATCAGATTTCAGGAAAGCCAAAAAATGCTAGAGTTTATGGGCAGAGAACTGGCCAGGAAGGAGAGGTTGGGGAGATGTGCAGAAAGATGGCCTCAAGTCTCTGGCTAAGTGCCAATTTGTGCATGTGTAAGAGGAAACACAAGGAAAGAAACACTGAAACAATGCACAGAGCTCATAGTGGAAAGCCATAGTAGTAAACATGGCTAAACTACCCCTAGGCTAAAGGATGCTCTGAACCTGCACTAACAAAGATTTAAAACCAATCCTTGCGGACTTCCCTGGTGGTCCAGTGGTTAAGAATCCTCCTTCCAATGCAGGGGACGTGAGTTCGATCCCTGGTCAGGGAACTAAGATCCCACATGCCATGGGGCAACTAAGCCCACGCGCCACAACCAGAGAGCCCACGTGCCGCAACTATTGAGCCCATGCACCACAACTAGAGAGAAGCCCGCACACCACAACAAAAAGTCCCTCATGCTGCAGCAAATATCCCACGTGTCGCAAAGATCCTGAAAGCCGCAACTAAGACCCAATGCAGCTAAATAAATAAATAAATAAATAAATATTTAAAACCAATCCTCAAAAAGGTCAGACTAATTTCAAGTAACTTAACTGTGAACAAGAATAAAGTCCAACACCATTTCAAGGAAATTTTTTAAAATCCAGACCCCTGAACACAAAACACACCTTTCCAGTATAAAATCAAAAATTACCAAGCATGAAAAGAGGCATAAAAATAAAACCCGTAACAAGAAGAAAGGTCAATTGACAAAAACTGACCCAGAAATAGCAAAGATTAAAATACTAAAACATCTATTATAGCTGGGGTCCCCAGTCCCCAGGCCACAGACCGGTACCGGTCCGTGGCCTGTTAGGAACCGGGCCACACAGCAGGAGGTGAGTGGCGGGTGAGTGAGCGAAGTTTCATCTGTATTTACAGCCGCTCCCCATCGCTCACATTTCCACCTGAGCTCCGCCTCCTGTCAGATCAGTGGCAGCATCAGATTCTCATAGGAGCGCAAACCCTGCTGTGAACTGTGCATGTGAGGGATCTAGGCTACGCGCTCCTTATGAGAATCTAATGCCTGATGATCTGTGGTGGAGCTGACGCAGTGATGCTAGCTCTGGGGAGTGGCTGCAAATACAGATTATCATTAACAGAGAGGTTTGACTACACAGAGACCGTAATAAGTCAACTGCTTGCAGACTCATATCAAAACTCTATCAGTGAGTGGAAAGTGACAATTAAGCTGCATCTGGTGACAGGCTTTACAGTGGCAAGTGAGTTGATGTACTTCAACTGTACAACTGCATGTGGTGGCAGGCTTTAAGTCAGAAACTGACACTTATTTCAGTCTGCGTGTGGCCTGCCCATTATTTTATTTACCACTTCTGTCCGCACCTCTTTCCTGCACTGTGCACTTCTCTCAGTCACAGTGTGGGTAAGCTCACAAGCTAACCCTAGCCAAAATGAGTAAAAAACAAATGTCGCTGGAGAGCTTTTTTGAAAGGGGGAAAGACCCAATGATGAGACAGCAGAAGACTCTAAGACTGCCAACGAAAAGAAAGCTACATTTAAAAGAAAATACCAAGAGTCCTAATTAAATTACAGGTTCATTGCCACAGGTGATTCACATTCTCAAAGCCCGCTCTGTATAATATGTGGCAACTAGCTATCCGAGGAAGACATGAAACCTTCAAAGCTGTTTTGCCACATGGAGACCAAGCACCCTGCATTAAGACAAGCCTTTGGAGTTTTTCAAAAGAAAAAAACGTGAACACGAAGAATAGAAGCAATTATTGAAGGCCACCACTTCATCAAATGTGTGTGCACTGATAGCATCATTCTTAGTGCCTAAACGCATTGCTAAATCTAAGAAGCCCTTTGCTGGGCTTCCCTGGAGGTCCAGTGGTAAAGAATGCGCCTTACAATGCAGGGGACACGGGTTCGATCCCTGGTTGGGGAAATGAGATCCCATATGCTGCAGGGCAACTAAGCCCACACACTGCAAGTACTGAGCTTGCGCGCCTCAACTAGAGAGCCTATGTGCCACAAACTACAGAGCCCACATGCCCTGGAGCCTGCGCGCCACAGCTAGAGAATAGAAAACCCGCACACCACAACTAGAGAGAAACCTGTGCATCGCAACAAAGAGCCTGCGCGCTGCAATGAAAGATCCCGCGTACCTCAATGAAGATCCTGCGTGCCACAACTAAGACCCGATGCAGCCAAAAATAAAATAAATAAATAAATAAAAAATAAATCTTTAAGAAAAAGCCCTTTACCATTGGTGAAGAGTTGAGCCTGCCTGCTAAGGACAACTGTCATGAACTTTTAGGAGAGGCTGCAGTTCAAAACGTGGCACGTGTTCCTCTTTTGGCTAGTACCATAACTAGACGAATTGATGAAATAGCAGAGGATACTGAGGCACAATTGTTAGAGAGGATTAATGAGTCACCACGGTATGCAATCCAGGTTGACGAGTCTACTGGTGTCGACAACAAGGCAACAATGCTTGTTTTTGTGTGATATATCTTTCAGGAGGATGTGCATGAGGATATGTTATGTGCACTTTTGTTGACAACCAACACAACAGCTGCAGAACTCTTCAAGTCTCTGAATGATTACGCATCAGGAAAAGTGAATTGGTCATTTTGCGTCGATATATGCACGGACAGAGCGGCTGCCATGACTGGATGGCTTTCTGGTTTCACTACTTGGGTCAAAGAGGTTGCTTCTGAACGTGAGTCTACACACTGTGTCATCCACAGGGAAATGCTGGCTAGCTGAAAAATGTCACCTGAACTTAACGTTTTGCAGGATGTGATTAAAATTATCAGCCATATTAAAATACATGCCCTTAACTCACGTCTGCTCCCGCAGCTCTGTGAGGAGATGGACGCAGAGCACACACGTCTTCTCTTACACACAGAAGTGAGATGGCTTTCTAAAGGTAGATCACTGGCCAGAGTTTTTGAGTTATGAGAGCCACTCCAGAGATTTCTTTTAGAGAAACAGTCACCCCTGGCAGCACATTTCAGTGCCACAGAATGGGGTCGCAAAACTTGCTTACTTGTGTGACATATTCAACCTGCTCAACGAACTCAATCTGTCACTTCAGGGGAGAACCACCACTGTGTTCAAGCTGGCAGATAAAATGGCTGCATTCAAAGCCAAACTGGAATTATGGGGGCAATGAGTGAACACTAGGATTTTTGACACATTTCAAATATTAGCAGAGATTTTGAAAGAGGCTGAGCCAGGGCCTTCTTTCCCCCAGCTGGTGCATGATCACCCATCTCAGCTTTCAAAAGAGTCTGAGCATTACTTCCCAGCCACAAAAGACCCCCGAACTGGGAAGGAGTGGATCTGCGACCCATTTGTGAATAAGCCCAGTGAATCGACTTTGTGCTAGAATAGGATCAACTGCTTGAGATCGTAAATGACGGTGGCCTTAAAAGTATGTTTGAGACAACTTCAAATCTCCATACATTCTGGATTAAAGTCAAGGCGCGATATCCTGAGATTGCCACAAAAGCACTGAAAAGGCCGCTTCTGTTTCCAACATCCTATCTTTGTGAAGCAGGGTTTTCTGCAGTGACAGCAATCAAAACGAGATTACAGAGTAGACTGGACATAAGCCACACACTTCAGGTGTCACTGTCTCCCATCACCCCCAGATGGGACCATCTAGTTGCAGGAAAACAAGCTCAGGGCTCCCACGGATCCTGCATTATGGTGAGTTGTATAATCATTTCATTATATAGTACAATGTAACAATAGCAGAAATAAAGCGCACAATAAACGTAATGCACTTGAATCATGTGAAACCACCCCCCCACCCCCACCTCCCCGGTCCGCGGAAAAACTGTCTTCCATGAAACCGGTCTCTGGTGCCAAAAAGGTTGGGGACCGCTGTATTACAGAAGTTATAGGTTTGGGTTCCTTACATTGGATCATAGCAAACTGTAAGGATAAAAGGTTTCTTCCTGTTCTCTATTAAGAGAAATAATTTTGAAATCTAAAAAGTTAGTAATACACTGAAATAGTAAGAGTGAAAATAATTCACTTGAATAGTAGTTTAGATTTTTATTTTATAAACTGAATATCTTCTTTTAAAGCTCTTTAGTATTTTTCCCATTTTCTCTCATATTCTCTTACTTCCTCAGAATTCATTCTCTTGAAATTTGCTCGCTTATAAATACAAAATGAAGTAAAAGTACAAAGAAATGACAAGTGAGGACCTACCTGAAGTCTTGCTAGTTGAGCAGTACGGGCTACTATTTTATTGTATGGCTCAACAATTTTTGATTTCATCCTAAAGGAAAAACAGAAAGAGGAGTGACAAAATCATCTTCAAAATATCAATGGATAAAATTCGTTCCATTTCATTCATTTACAAAATGAACAACAGTACCTATCAACAGCTCCCTGTAAAGCCCCAATTCTTGTCTGCATCATCTGAAGGACACCTAGGAAAACATAACAGCTTACATTACTTTACAAATTTACGAGGGTTCAAATTGGGTAAAAAGTTAAAAGAAAAAAATAGAGAAATTTTTCCATTTTTTTCTGCCATCATCATAATCCAACCAGTATCTTTCACCTAGACTACTGCAAAAACCTCTAACTAGTCTTCCCCGTCCTAACCTTGCTCCACTAAAGAAGTCTGACAAGGAATGGGGAGTGACTGCTTAATGGGTACAGGGTTTCCATTTGAGGTGATGAAAAAGTTCTGGAACTGGATAGCGATGGTTGCACAACACTGTAAATGTAATTAATAGCACTAAGTTATATAGTTTAAAATGGTTAAAGTGGTAAATTTCATGTTAATGTGTATTGTACTACAATTACAAAAAAAAGAAGTGTGCGACTTCGCTGGTGGTGCAGTGGTTAAGAATCCACGTGCCAATGCAGGGGACACGGTTCAAGCCCTGGTCCAGGAAGATACCACATGCTGCAGAGGAACTAAGCCCATGCACCACAACTACTGACCCTGCACTCTAAAGCCCACGAGCTGCAACTACTGAGCCCGTGAGCCACAACTACTGAAGCCCACACGCCTAGAGCCCCTGCTCTGTAAGGAGAGAAGCCACCGCAACGAGAAGCCCACGCACCGCAATGAAGAGTAGCCCCTGCTTGCCTCAACTAGAGAAAGCCCACGCCCAGCAATGAAAACCAAACACAGCCAAAAAATAAAGAAACTTATTTTTTTAATTATATTAAAAAAAAGCCTGAGTGATCTTTGGAAGTGCAAATTACAACACTCATCTGCTAAAACCCTTCCCCAGTCTCCCCTTTGCTCCTATGTTAAAACTAAAGTCCACGGCTTGGTGTACAAGGCCCTGAACGATCTGGAAATGAGGTACTCTCCTCCTGGTATACTCTCTCTAACCCCCAATGCTAGATAAATAATAAATATGGACAGCAAGTATATTATTGCCTTTACTCTCTACTTACATAACATGATGAAGAACTGTTTATAAAATTGTAAAATTATTTTCAGGAGGACAGATCTGAAATTTTACTTTTTTATATGCCTAAAAATGGGCTTTCCAATATTACAGATTTCATTATTTTGAACTATATTCTTTAAAACTCAGTTTCTATATTCAACTGGCATAGCTGTAGTTTTGAAACATAGCATTCTAAATAAATTTAAGTATAGAATGTTGTCATATTAGATGAAGTAATTTCAGAATTAATTAATACTCCTAACTGCATACAAATGTTTTAATATGGCTCAGTCCAATAGAATCCTTTCTGGACCCAAGGATTTCTGCCGGTATTATGGTTCACTGACCTTAAACCTCCAAGAATGAACTGGCTTTCCTTGTTATCATCACTTCCTCACATCTTATTCTCTCCACAACCCACTCGCAACACCTTTCACACATATGCCACCAAAACAGATTTTGTCAGCGTCACCAGAAATCTCCAAGGTGCCGAATTCTATTGTCAGTTCTGTCTTGATCTTGTTCTAACTCTCAGAAATGCATGACACGTTGAACCACTCCCTCCCTAAAACATTTTTTTCTCTAGGCTTCCAAGTCATCAACCTCATGGGCTCCCTCTGATGGCATGAGTTGCTCCCACTCCTTCTCTGTTGGATCTCTACATGCTGGAGTACTCCAAGATTTGGTCCTCAGCCATCTTCTCTTCTCCATCTAGAATCTCTCTTAGGGATTTCATTCAACCCCAATGTTTTAAACACTATCTGTTCAATAAAATACTGATTTTATATACACACATATGTACATACATCTATATAGATTTTCTTTATACCTGCCTATCTATACACACACACACACACACACACACACACGCACACAAATCTCTAGCCCTGAACTTTCTTATGACAAATTTAAGACACCCAAATAGATAACTTCTGCCCCACCATGATCCTCTCCAGTGTGATGTATCTGTTACTCATACCATCATCTATCCAATTTTTCAGACTAAAATCTTAGGAATCACTGTTGGTGACTTTTTTCCCTCAGACTTTTCATTTCCCATCAACAAATCCTATCAGCTCTACCCCCATTTTATCCCATTCACTTCTCTCTCTTTACATCCACCACTAATTCAAGGCACCATCAACGTCTACTACTCTAATAGCTTCTAAATTGGTACCCCAGATTCTACTCTTGCCTTCTTATAGAGCCACCAGAGAAAACTTTTTAGAGCATTAATCACATAACATTTCTAATTAAAACCCTCCAATTGTTTACCATTGCATTTAGAATGAAAATCAAAATTCCTTCCCAAGAACCTCATCTGCAATTCTTTCCCTCATTCACTAAACTCTAGTCATACTAGCCTTTTCTTTCTGCCCTTCAAACATGCCACGCTAATTCCATTTATTGGTCCCTCAGCTTACCACACTCTCCTCCCCAGACAGTCATGTGGTAGCTCTTTCTCATCATTCAGATCTCAGTTCAAATGTCATCTTCTCAAAGAAGCATCTCCTGCCCATCCTAGCTAGTAAGGAACTCCCATTCTTCTACCTCATCATCTATTTTATTTTCTTTTAGGACTTAAAAGTACCTGAAGTTCCCTACTTACACATTTTTCTTTTTTGGTCTAATTCCCTACCTAGAACATAAATAACATGAGAACAGTGACTCTATTGTTCACAGGTGTCTGGTATCTTAACAAGTTCTCAATTACTATTTGACTGAATGAGCAAATAAATAAAGAAATTAGGCTATCCCTTTTTAATAAAATAGGCTTAATTAAATATACCTCCAAAACTCCATAAGGACAGGGACTCTGCATATTGTTACAGCTGCCTGGAATCTAACAAATTCTCAATTAAAATTTAAATGCATAAATAAACAAAAAATGAAGAGAGAGTAAATTTTAATAAAATAGGCTAAATAAATATATCTCCAAATGAATTATATGGCCAAAATTTTAAATATATAGGAGAAAAAGCAGATGAAGTAGAAGTTGGGGTAACACATTTTCAAATATAACCCACATCTCAAAAAGTTTAATAAATGATTAGAAATACACATCATGCTAAAATGAATACTAACTGATTCATACTTTGACTTAAGTTCAAATAATATGGAGAATAGTCTTAGATTATCATAGGAATTCAGAGAAGTCAGCCTTTCTACTGTACACAGTCACCCAATGGATAGTCATTCTAACTCAGTCTAACAGCATATTTTAAATGTTTTAAACACTGAAAAGCACTCTGGGGAAAATCAGCACACTATAGAACTAAACACACATAGGGAATTCCCTGGCTGCCCAGTGGTTAGGACTCGGCACTTTCACTGTGGTGGCCCAGGTTCAATCTCTGGTTGGGGAACTAAGATCCTGCAAGCCATGTGGTGTGGCCAATTTAAAAAAAAGGAAAAGAAAAAGAAAACCACAATGAGAAGTATTTCTGTTGTGATGATTCATCTACACCTATATACACTCAAAATCAATGTACTACCGTGACATCCCTATGGGTTTCTACAAAGGAAAAAAACCTTTATTCATTTGTTTACAAAAATTACCATTGAAAACAAGGTATTATTTACTTGCTTCCAGAAACATATAAAAATATTATGAGATTAAAGAAAATTAATTTTCCATAATAAGTCAGCACCTAGAGCCTCTTAATTTTCCCATGAACATAATCTGATATCTATCCTAAATATTCAAATAACAAACTGTTATCTCCAACATACTATGTTCTTCATCAGGATGCCTTAGAAACAGTGCACATGCTGAAAATAACATCTTTGAGTGCACATAAGAAATACTAGAGGAAGCATTAAAGAATACTGCATCACAGAAAGCAATATCCTTCTTCCTTAAGAATGTCATCAACATAGGGAAAAATCACTTAGCTTTCTTTTGATGTACAATGATCAACAGTAATCACAACACAAGTGATAATGGAAAATACAATATTAACATTTCATATTTATGAGATGTAGTTTAATTTAATATAGAGAATGATAAATTCATAAAAGATGTAGTCAAACAAAAATAAGAGAGTTCATAATAAAAATCCGTATTATCATTCTACTATACTTTCATTTTTGAAAAGCATTTCAAAGAAATAGGAAAGAATTCAAGCCTATTTCCACTACTTTAGTGGAGTTGATTTTGTTTTCGTTTCTTTTTTTTTTGTCCACGCCACACGGCTTGCTGGATCCTAGTTCCCCAACCAGGGACTGAACGTGCGCCCATAGCAGTGAAAGTGCGGAGTCCTAACCACTGTAACCACTGGAATTCCCCTGCTTATTTGTTTTAATTAACTAACAGTTATAAAAGCACTAAATATGTGCCAGGAATTGTTCAAAGCATTTTGTTAACTCATTTAACCCTCTAAATAACATATTAGTACATATTAATACTCCTCCTTTATAGATAAAACTGAGGCACAGAAAGGTTAGGTAAGTTGTCCAAAGTCACACTTCTAGTAGGTGGGAAAGCAAGGATTTAAACCCAGAGAGTTTAGCTCAGGGGTCAGCAAAGTTTTATTAAAGTTTTGTTGGAACACAGCCACACACATTCGTTTCCATATTACCTGGCTGCTTTCACCCTGTAACAGCAGAGTTTAGTAGTTGCAACAGAGACAGTATGGCCTACAAAGTCTAAACTATTTACTTTCTGACCCTTCACAGAAGAAGTTTCCAAGCCCTGGGCTAGCTCTGTACAATGTGTAATAGTTAATGGAAATATACCTTCCAAAGACTCAATCCCAGTTGCTTGTGCCAATAAATCTTCATGTCTTGCAACAACCTGAAAATCGAGAATGAATAATCAGCACTCCAAGTATTAAGTATTTTGATTTGTAACCACAAAGTAGAATTGAAGGACTCTCTCTTTATGGAAAGTGGGAAAATGCTAATACAAAAAATACAGGTTATAAAGGTGTGTTTGAGCTGAATGACTGGTGGGAACATAAACACGCTATAGCTCAACACAGAGCCAAAGACGTCTTTTCATTAGCCCCGTGGTTTCCTAGGGGGATGTGCAGGAGAAGCTGTGCCCAAACTGAAAAGCAAAAACCAGCTAATTCTTGCCATGCTAATTAATACACGCTTCCCTTTTAAAGAGTGTTTTCAAACATCAGGTTCTTTTAGTTCTTGCATTTAATTCAGCATCATCAAGACCACATTCTAATTTGGAAAGATAAAGCAGAGTCAGCGCCTCCCTAAACACCTCTCTGCTTCCAGCTTCCTAATGTCACAGCAAATCCTCTTCCCTGCAGAAGACTGGTATTTTTAAGAAAATTAGGGCAGTATGAATAGTCATATCAAAAAAAAAAAACCATAAAAGTTAAGAGTTAAAGGCTACATGCAAGAGAGTCCTAGAAACACCAAGAAATCAAGCAAATCTTTAGAACAATGCAGGAATCCTTATTATTTTGTACCTTTATTACAATGAATAAGAAGTTTCATGTCTAGTCTGTAAACTGAAGCTCCTAATCAGCAAAGATCCGTTCAATGGAATGCCTAAATCCTCTACTTTGTCCTGTTTCACACATCACTTGTCATTCTAGCAAGTTCCTCTATCACATATCTAAAATAAGTGTTAAGGGCTTCCCTGGTGGCGCAGTGGTTGAGAGACCGTCTGCCGATGCAGGGGACAAGCGTTCGTGCCCCGGTCCGGGAAGATCCCACATGCCGTGGAGCGGCCGGGCCCGTGAGCCATGGCCGCTGAGCCTGTGTGTCCGGAGCCTGGGCTCCACAACGGGAGAGGGCGTGCCAGTGAGAGGCCCGCGTACCGCAAAAATAAAATAAAATAAAATAAGTGTTACTTTTAGTCTCCTATGTCTCTTGTCCAGAAGACATCTGAGTTCTCCCCAGTCCACTGATATGGTCATTAATGTGTCCATCCTAACAAAATGAATATTTTTCTAATTCTCTATTCTTTGTCCCTTGTGATACTCTGGAAAGGTTGAAAAGCCTAAAACTACAATTTCAGACTCCCCTTTGGTCAACTGGATGAATTTCCAAGAGATTTAGAAGACAGAAGAAAGAGGAAAACTATCTTCCCATTACTGTTTCAGCTAGTAAGCAAAGACCTGAGACCTGAGGATTTAGAGATAGTTGGGATAGCCCTATAGATCATTCCAGAGTTCAGTTACCAAGCATCCAGAAGCTGAACTTTAGCAGTGGCATGGGAGGTAACAGCAGGAGCTTCCAGGTCTCTGTGTTGCATCTGTGGTAGATCCTTCAACTCATTCCATTAGCTGTCCATCCAATCCTCTGTATTAAATATCTTCCTGCTTTAAATACCTACAGCGGTTTCTGCTTCCTGTACTAAAGCCCTGACTAATACATACTTCGGTACACCTTTTGTAACTTTAATCATCTCAATGATATATATATATATATATATACACACATATATATATATATTTTTTTTTTTTTTTTTTCGCGGTACGCGGGCCTCTCACTGTTGTGGCCTCTCCCGTTGCGGAGCACAGGCTCCGGACGCGCAGGCTCAGCGGCCATGGCTCACGAGCCCAGCCGCTCCACAGCATGTGGGATCTTCCCAGACCAGGGCACGAACCCATGTCCCCTGCATCAGCAGGCGGACTCTCAACCACTGCGCCACCAGGGAAGCCCCGATCTCAATGATATTTTAAATTATTTTTATTATATTTTACTTACTGGTTTGGTTAGCATTATCCCAATTTTGCTTCTGCAGAAAAACAATTGTAGCAGGTTCAGATCTCATACCAGGAATCAGAGACTTCCTCCACCCTACATCCAGAACCACTGTAAGCATAACTTGCCCCCTCTAGGAGATGTTAAACAGATTTTAAGTTTTTACTGATTCCTTCAGAGAAGGTACTATATGCAAAGAATAAGGAAAATGCCAACCACAAAAAGGCAGAAAGAATTTCAGGTGGCTCCTGCAAAAAGCTACCCCCTGAGAAACCTAGGCAGAGTTAAGTGCACTTTCCCCTGCTCCCACAGACACTTTGTACTATTCTATTTAAAACAGGCATCATTTGCCTGTCATTATTTCTGCCTGTATCTGCCACTGGTCTGTGAATACTTGGAGAGCCAGGAAATGTTTTCATTTTTCTATCCGCAGAGCCTAAAGCAAAGCCTGACAATTAAAACTGTCCTATAAATGTTTCTCAATAAGTATTAATCTCTAATTATATAATCAGAATTTTAAACTGACCTTAAAAGTCACCCCAGTCTGAACTATGCTGCTCTTTTTTTTTTAAAGAACTGTCTGTAATATATACTTCTATCTTTTTTTTTTATAAATTTATGTATTTATTTATTTATTTTGCGGTACATGGGCCTCTCACTGTTGTGGCCTATCCCGTTGCGGAACACAGGCTCCGGACACACAGGCTCACAGGCCCAGCCGCTCCACGGCATGTGGAATCTTCCCAGACTGGGGCACGAACCCGTGTCCCCTGCATCAGCAGGCGGACTCTCAACCACTGAATTTATTTATTTTTTATTTATTTTTATTTTTGGCTGTGTTGGATCTTAATTGCCATGTGCAGGCTTTCTCTGGTTCTGAAAAGCAGGGGCTACTCTTCGCTGCGGTGTGCAGGCTTCTCATTGCGGTGGCTTCTCTTGTTGCGGAGCACAGGCTCTAGGCATGCGGGCTTCAGTAGTTGTGGCACGTGGGCTCAGTAGTTGTGGCTCGTGGCCTCTAGAGCGCAGGCTCAGTAGTTGTGGCACACAGGCTTAGTTGCTCCACAGCACGTGGGATCTTCCTGGACCGGGGCTCAAACCCGTGTCCCCTGCATTCACAGGTGGACTCCTAACCACTGCGAAACCAGAGAAGCCCCAAACTGCTCTTTTAATTGATAAAGTAAGACACAAAAAACTTAAGGGAACATGTCTCATTATACCAGATCTAGGTTTCCTGGAAAATAGTTCATTTATTCATGCAATTTGTTCATTCATTTAAATATTTAAGTGCCTACTCAGAAAGAAAGGCAACACTAGAAAGTACACCATAAAACCACCATATAAAAATCACAGAATTGTAAAAGAGGAAGGAACCTTCAAGATTTTCTACTACAATCTCCTCCTCCCCCTTATTCACTCCAACCCATTCCACAGGTTTTTTTCTTTTTTTAAAAAAAAAATAGCAAGACTCAAAGGCATTACATGATATGAAAGGTAACAGCACAACTGAGATTCAGACCGATCTCCTAACTCCCCTCATTGTGTTCTATCCACCACAAATTTATCAACTTTCTGTAATTTCATCAAATGTTACATTTTGTGCTCATAAAGTGTGAACTGCTGATGGGAACATCCCAGTTTTTCTTATTCACACTGTTCTGCTTCCAAAATTCTATTTTCTATTATCTTTATCAAAGACATCCTATTTTTTGCCTACCTATACTCTCTCCATATCAGTTAAGATGATGAAAACAAAGTATGAATAAAAGGTTTTGGAGAGATGGGTATATCCATTTTTCAAATAACAAAAAGTTTACAGAAAACTTTTCAAAGATATACTTGGAAAAATATACATTTGTTCATGTAAATGCGCATTTAGATTAAATAATAAAAGGATTATAAAAGTGATATATTATCACTCTGTGTTGAATAAATTGTATGATCCAGAAAATTGGAATTACCTGTAAGTGCAGTTCTTTATCCAACTGACTGATTCCTTGGGCAAGTTTTGCTAGCTGTTCAGCAATTACAGCTTGATGAATAGATCGAGAAGTATAAGTCTTTACATCAAAGTCTTCATTTAAAAAATCACTATAACACTCTGGGAAAAAAAATAAGAAAAAATCTTTATCAATTACACTGCACCAAACCACAGATATTAAACAACAGAACAATTATAATCATAGTTAACATATTTTGAGGTCTTTCTATACACCAGAAAGTACTGAAAAGGCTTTCTGTTGTAAATGAGAAGAGGCGGTAGCAACAGCAGAAGAGACTGGTAAAATTCACTAAGAACTTACTACGCGTCAGGCACTGATATAAGCACTTTATACATACTAACTCACTCAATGTTCACACAACCCTGTTGTAACTATCATTCTCCCCGTTTCACAGGTGAAGAGACAGGCACAGACAGGACATGCAACTTGTACAACTTCACTGTTTGAACCCAGGCAGTGTAGCTGCAGAGCCCACGTTCTGGACTACTATGCATATTCCTAAAAGCTAGTTTTTAATCAGTGAGTCAAAAGGAAAATATTGAGTAAAAGATTGAAAAAAAAAAAAACTACTAACCACAGCTTTTAACACAAGAAAACAAGGTCACTGACAATGACAATAGGAAAACTGACTGTATTTGATAATTATGCTCTCCAGCATCTCCAGACTGACGCACAAATACTGTTATAATAAAGTGAATCTGAAATTTTAATAGAAGTAGGCAAATGCAAACTTACAGGTATTACTGAAATTTTGGATTTATGGGTGAAATAAGTAAATGGAAAGGGAAACCATGTTGAAAGTAAACCCCTAAGAGAAAGAAAAAAAAAGGGAATTCCCTGGAAGTCCAGTGGTTAAGAATCTGCGCCTCCATTGCAGGGGGCACAGGTTCGATCCCTGCTTAGGGAACTAAGATCCCTCATGCCACGCGGCACAGCCAAAAAATAAATAAATAAAAATTTTAAAACAAGAAGTGATGCTAGATGTTAAGAAGATATCTTTCTGTACAGAAATCCACAAATTTGTGGGTGAAAGGAAAGTGGAGAGAATTATGAATGAAAAACAGATACACGGAAGTGAAGTCAACGTAGGTATAAACAATGATCTCCTAGCCATATGGTAGATATATGTAAGACTGCCTTGACAGAGACTATGAAACTAACAAGCTATAAAATAGAGTACTTATAAGAAAACTTCAATTGTCTATATCCACTATAATGTACACTCCATGAGTTTGCTTTGTGTACTACCACACCCATAGAGCCTGAACAATGCCTGACACATAGCAGGTGTTCAATACTGGTTGAATGCATGAATTAACCTATGTATCAGCTGGAAGTATCATTCTGCTAAAAGCAAAGACTCATTCTTGACTACTCTCAAAGTGTAGTGGAGTGAAAGAAGGAAACTGCTACTTTGGCCTTAATTCTGAGAACCCCATTTCCTTCGAGTTTGCCAAGTAGTTCTCAGAATTAAGGATCTTGTCAGGCAGACAAGTGGAGAAGGCTATTCCAAGAGGGAAGGTTTAGAGGCAGCAAATGTAATGGCATATTTTGAGGAATAAGGATAATACTGACTTAAGTATGTCTAGATCACAGTGTGTTTTGGGCAGAAAGGGTAAAGAATGATAGGATTTGAGGTTCCAAAGGAAGGTTGGGGTGCAGTTTGAAAAGAGGCTGGTAAAATATTCAAAACGTTCAGACTATATCCCGTTTAAGGTTTTAAAGCCAAGAAAGAGCCCTGTTAGCCTTGTGTTGTAGAACAGTTTCTGGCAGCTGTATGGAGGATGACTGAAAAGGGATTAGCCACACGGTGGTGCGCTGGGGCTGGCTCGGATTGGATCCTGAGAGCCAACTGTTAATCTCTCAGGAATTCTGTGAGCCAGTTGACATCACATGTAGGTATCTTAAAACTGACCATGGGGGCTTCCCTGGTGGTGCAGTGGTTGAGAGTCCACCTGCCGATGCAGGGGACACGGGTTCGTGCCCCGGCCCAGGAAGATCCCATATGCCGCGGAGTGGCTGGGCCTGTAAGCCATGGCCACTGGGCCTGAGCGTCTGGAGCCTGTGCTCCGCAACGGGAGAGGCCACAGCAGTGAGAGGCCTGCGTACCGCAAAAAAAAAACTGACCGTGGTAAGGGTATTTACACCATGAAAATTAGCATACACTACAAAATCAGGGCTTCTTCTATTTTCCCAGGACGCTAATTTACGAACACACCCATGGAATAGAACCACAGAGGCCAATAAGGTGCTATGTTAACAGCCCAAGTGACAAGATGAAGACTAAGATAGTAGCAGTTAGACTGTGAAGGAAGTGACAAATTTGACAAATATTCAGACACCATAATGTATAGGACTTAGAGACAAGCTGAAAGATGGGTGATTAGGTAAACAAGAATTAAAGGATGATTCCCAAGTTTCTTGATTAACTGACATAGGGAATTCAGTTTTGCATAAAGTAGGCCACCAGGAATCTTTGTATAAAGATGAACATGAATGTACCCCTGCCTCCAAAGAACTGATAACCTACGTGGGAACAAGCACACATCTAACCTACATGGGAACAAGCACACATCTAACTTACCACATACAATTAATGGTAACAGAGACTACCAGAGGAAAAGGTTAGAGGAGAGGGGTTAAAAAAAAAAATTATTTCACTTTTTCATGTGCAGAACCTATACTATTTGTTCATATGTAGATTTTTATATGTAGAATTAGTAGTGCTTGTTCACTGTCAAGACAGAAATGTCCAGTAGAGAGTGGTTCTATAGCTCAGAAGAGGAGTAAGGGCCATATGTGTATATTTGTATACATATTAATTTTCAAACTATGAAAAAAAGACCAGATGATTTAGGAAGACATTTTAGAATGCACAAAAAAAGGAAAATGGGAACGACAAGAGATCAGAAGCAGGAAAACACCAAAATTTAGGGGTAGATAGAAGAAATGAAAGCAATCAAGGAAATTAAGTGTTCGGAGAGAAAGAAAAACAGGAGAGAACAGCAAAAAACCAAAAGGGACAGCTTAAAGAAAGTCAGTAGTGTCAAAGATCTTATAAAGATCAAACACAATGAAGGCTGAATACTGGCCATTGGATTTGGCATCTGAAGACAGACCGTCCTTCATGCTTCTCTTTTAGCTTTCTCATGCCTATAGGAGGCATATCAGAAACACCTCACAAAATTTCAAACTACGCATCTGCTGACCAACCCTATAAATCCTATCCTCTATCACTGGCAGACCCCTGACACAGTGGATCACTGTTACTGATGGAAATGTTTAATTCCTTAGGAATGTTGTGGGAGGGAAGAGTGGAGTGAACCACTGAATTAGGGGTGAAATGAAGACGACAAGCATCTAAAGAAAGCTGAAAAAGAACACTTAGAGAATTAGGAAATTTTTTTAAAAATGGAACAAGCCACATGAGGCAAGTATTTCAAGAAAAGATTCGAACCCTTTCATAAGTTCAAGTAAGATAAAGACCGAAACAGTGTCCATTTGATTTATCCACAAGAAAGTCACTGGAGACCTTGGCAAAGCGATTTCAATGGCATAGAATGAGGGTAACTGGGTCGTTGAGGAGACAGGAAGAAAATCCAGAGCACCAAGGGGAGGGACTGTCCTTAGGAAGGAATGGAGACTTCACTTCTTTTATAATTGAAAATACAACAGAAAAGAAGGAAGAAAGAATGACTGCAGGTTCAGGCTTAGTTTATAGGTTTAACCGCAAGAAATGGAAGAAGCGCATATCTAATAGATTCTTTTTTTTTTTTTTAGGGAACTTGAAAACCATTTGTTGAGCTTGAAGGGAGTGGTTTGAAAGAGTAGATTTAAATAATTATTGTGGAAGATGGGAAAGAGAACTAAATAGGAAAATACAGAAAGCAGAATTGAGGACTGTTTACCCTCCAAAAACTGAATACAACCGCTGGAATGCACCCAACTGAAATAAATACCCATACGCAGCATGTACTGTTTCCTCCACTTCACCTGGGAAAGTCCTATTTACACCTCAAAACCAACTCCATCTAGAAAGCCTTTCCTGACACTCCCTTAAACCACTCCCAGTTATCATCTTCTTTTGTATTAATGTTTTACTTAGTATACAATTCTACTGCTACCCTTACAACACTATATTACGGTGCCTACCTTTCTAACTCTACAGGGCTACTTCTCCTACCAAAATGGTGAGCTACTTGAGGGTGGGAATTGCGTATATATCAGGAGCTCAAAACTTGGTTAACCTGAATTTAAATTAAGGTACAAAGATGCATTAGCCAGAGATCCTAACCTAGAGAACATGATCTAGTTCAGAAAACATCATTAGTGACTTGTGACAAAAGTATGTAAATTATAATCAGAAGGCAAGGAATTAAGGGCAGTAATAAAACATACAACACAGAAAACAAACAGTACTTTAGAACTTTATTTCATTCGTTTAGAACCTATTTTGGTCTACATATGTGTGCATATGCTTCTTTACTGTGATGTTCAATTTTTAAAAACCACTTACTCTGCACCTACTGTAGGCAAGGTACTGTTATTAACTCTGCAGAATATAAAAAGGGGTTTTACAATGAAGTAGAAAAGATTAAGTACACTAATTATTTTAATACAAGGTTGAACGTGATGGAGATTAGGGAAGAAAATTAAGAACAGGTGAGAAGGATCTTAGAAATTTGAACTTTATTCTGAAAGAAAGGAAGTTTGGGGCATGTTAACTTCATTAATACAATTTTATGGGCTTCTCAAATACACTATGTCTAACTTATCTTCTTATTTCTAGAAACTTCTATCCAAAACTATCAATAAACTTGATTGCTATATTCAATACATATAGTTAATCCCAGCCTGAATGAATGCTCCGAACCCTCCCCGACGTATGGCTGTGGATAAACGACTTGTAAAAAAAAAAAAACAAGCGAGCTTGTAAGTGGGGCCACCTGTGCAGTCCAAAAATGTATTAACAAGGGGATGTTTCCAACTCTACCTAAAAATGAGACCCCCTTCATCAAGCGCTTGTAATCTGCTCTAGGTCTTACACTTCTCATGGAATCAAACGCTTCACCCTTTGGTCACCGGGGGCGGGAACTCGGGACATCAGCGAAACCCCAGTAGCGTGGAGGGCAGAGTTGAAATGAGGAGCCTCCAGAAATCAGGTGTCCCCAGGACACCCGGAAGGGAAGGGGACAGCAAGTCCCTGGAGAAACAGGTTGGCTAGGCCAGCACCCAGACGTCAGGGGGCCGGGCGGAGGGGAGTGGTCACGCCGAAACAGGAAAACTTTCCGCAAAGCGAAGGGTTGAGTCCACCACTTGGGCCCAGGTGCGGAGCAGGACAATCCCCCAACCCCATGGCCCGGCCAGACCCCGACTCCTTACCGTCCTGCAGGAGCTCCCGGACAGTCGCTGCAGCCGCCCCAGAGCCCAGAGCCGGACGGCCAGGCAGAGCGAGGCCGCCGTCGACACCTTCCATGTTGGCAGGTGCCGGGGAGATGGCGTCACAGCGGCGTGCCCCGCCCAGGTCATGACGCAGAATCCCGGCGCCGCCAGCTCCGCCCGCCCGGCTGTCTTGGAGATTACGCTCTGCTACTGCTGGTGGGCCGACCCTGGCTGGGAGGGGCGCGGAGCCCAGAGTAGGTGGACGCCGAGGGCCCAGCGCACCAGGGAAGCTGAGGTCGTGGGGCCGGCGCTTTCTTCCGTCTCCCGCCGCACTCCTGGGGCTGGCGGCGTTCCCTGGGCGGAAGAACAGGTGAGCGCCGGAACGTGGCGGCAGCGCTCACCTCTAAACCAAGTATTTAACCTGAGAATGGGACCTCTCGATGGAAGCACTAGAAGAGAACGGAGGTTTCTGGTAGCTTCGTGTGCACGCCACAAGCACAGCTGGCGGGCGTTAATAGCTATCCACCTGTATCTATCACAACCCTTGCTTCGCGTTCTTGGGATAAAGGCAGGCGGGAAAAGCTTGGGGAGGAAAGTTGCCAGGGATGAAAGTGGGGAGAATTAGGGAGAGCCGAGAGTCGGTTAAGTAGGAAGACTGAACCAGGAATAGATAAGTGGGACTCAGTCTCTGCTTACCCTCTCATGAGACAGTGACCTTAGGCTTTTTCTACCGCTTAGTTTCAGTCCTGAGCGACGCCAGAGTTTTCCTTGTCACAAACTGATGGATTTTCCATCTCTCAGCTAACAGTATTGGAGCTGTAAAATCATCAGGTTAGTTCCCGTTATATCTTCTCCGCTGTTAACATCGGCAGTATTCACCTGTATTTCTCCCACGATAAATACTAGTAAGTTAACAGGTCAACCACACGTGTGCGAGAAGGTTAAGAATTTCTAACGTAAAAAGAAACGTTAACTTTTCCTTCGTGTACAGTAAGTATGTATGCAGGGAACCTATATTTCCCAGTGCCAGAGCTAAAGTTTTTCTTGATTCAGCTAACGGATTTTCGAGAATGTGATAGTAGTACTTAGCTGTGCCAAATGCCGTTCGAACATATTAGATACCCGTAGCAACTCAAGCAAGTATGTCTCACTACACTGCATTATGCTTTCTCTTTGTCACAGAGGTTCTCCCCTAATATACTTTGATTTCAGTCACGGTGTGAATAGGATTGAATGTTCTGAATGGAGGTCTCACAAATTGCCAAGGGCAGTGTGTTGAGATTCACATTAGGTTTCATTATCTATAATACACAAAATTTGACTTCAATAATTTTTTAATATTAATGATGAATAAGCATTATCTTTGAATTATGGATTGTTTTTCCCTCCCTGGCTTTTACATTGAAAATTTTTAGAAAAGTTACATAATATTCATTCATTCATTGAAGAGTTTTGAGTCTCTACTATATGTACCAGCATGAGTGTACAAACATTAGACTCAATCCCTGTCTTATCCCAGAGGAGCTAATAGGTAGGTAGAAACCCATTTAAACAAACAGTATTACCAGGTGCTTTGGAGGATGTGGATTTGTTTATTCCCAAGCTAGGCTGCCCATGAAAATCACCTGGAGAGCTTTAACAACCACTGATGCTTGCATCCTATGCCCTGAGATTCACATGTAATTGCTCTGGGGTATGGTTTGGGCATCCTGCTTCCTAAAATCTCACCAGATCATTCTAACATACAACCAAGATTAAGAACTACTGATTTATTCATTCAGCAAATATGTATTAAGGGAGGCCTTCTTCGTGCCATGTACTGGGACTACAAGAATGAATTAAGTACCACCTGTTGCACATGGATAAATACCTCTGGAGAGGTAGAAATTCAGCTACACAAGGTCAGGGAACAAGTGCACTGGTTAACAACAAATTCCCTTTGATACTCTATGGTCTTTTGATCTATTTAGCTGGCTACCATCATACAAACTGGACTTGTCATATTGCTTTTAACTGTGCCTTGCATAATTACTGTTTTTGCATAATTATTTTTAAGCTCTGTACTTGTTGCCTGTTAAACGTTTGTAGAAACAGCTTACTCAGTAGGGTTACTCTAGCTCAGTGCTTCAGGATGACCTCCAGTGCTTACAACCTAGATGGAATGTAGACTTTAGATGGGAAATTCCTGAGTGTTCTTATTCATGCTCCTCCTTGTTACTCAAATGTGGCTTCAGTGGTTTCCAATCGCTATGCACTTTCCCTCTGACGTGGGACGTGACAACCAGGAAACGCCCTTCCTGGTACCAAGGGACAAAAACCACTAAATATGGACAACCTGACTCTTGATCAGCAGTGCTTTTGAGGAAAGATCTTGATCAAAAGAGGGAAATGTGAAAATAAAGAAAACTTCATTTAAAGTGGAGTCATGAAGCCCTGAAGGGAAAGCTCTCATGTATGCACCACTTGTGGCTGCCTGCATAACCAGCAGGAAGAAGAACAATAAAAATTATTTTAACAACAACAACAAAAGAATGAATAAGAGTGAAATTATTCTTGCTAAAGTCACAATGACCTAGTTGCCATTGGACACTTTTTAGTCTTTACTTAACTCTTCTGTGATGTTTAAGATGTTTATCCCCTCCCTCCTTCGTGATACTATTCCCTCTCTTTTGAATATCACGTTTCAGATTTATTCCTCCCAGCTCCAGAGTTCATCTCTCTGTCTCCTTTACATTCTTTTTTTTTTCCCCTTTTACTTAAATGTTGGTGCTTCTAAGGATTTCTACAAGATATGGCATCCATAAGTACTTTGTCTATGTTTTTAGTTTCAACATATTACCTAAAGGTTAAAGACTTATCTCTAGCTTTTTCTTTAGTACCATATCTATATAACCAGTTATGAGGCATCACCACCTGGAAATCCCCTGAGCACCTCAACTTCAGTGTGCCCAAGCGTGGACTCGTTTCCCTCCCAAAGCCTGTTCCTCCTTCTGGTTCTCTGTCTCATTGATTGGAATGGCCAGCCGCCCAGTCTCTAAAGCCAAAAGTGTACACATCATCCTAGAATTCTTTCTTAATTACACAACACGTGCTGTCATCAGGTGATTTCCACCTCCTAAATGTCTTTCTAGTTTATTTTTATTTCTAAATAGCTCCTAAATGTGTTCCCTTTCCTCTATCCTCATTCCTGGAGTCCCAGGTCAGATACTCATTACACACGGCTTTGTCTACTTCAGTGGCCTCCTTACTGATATTTTACCAACAGCCCTAATCCCTCCATCGAAATCTTTCTGAATCAGAAACCTGACCATGTCATTTCTCTGCTAAAATTTTTCAATTACAACTAGTGTACAAGGAGAGACAAACAACTTACACAAAAATATATGCCCACGGAAGTATGTCATTTGCACAAGTTAACATGTTGAGTGCATATGTAAAAATCACCCACAGAGGAGGAAAAATGGCTGAGAACCAAGGCCCTACAGTTTAAAATCTAAAATATCTTAACCTGGTGTATAGGCCCTCTCATGCCCTTTCTAGTCTAGTTACAACTCGAGCAATGCTGAACTGTTGTTAATGGTTCACTGAAAACATCAAGCATTTTCATGCTGCTATGGCTGTTTACATGTTCTCTGTAACTGGACACTTCCCCATCTCCCATGTAGTGTCAGCTCAAGATTTCCTTCATCCATTATTGACTTCCCTCACTTCTCTAGACAGTTATTTCTACAGTGCTTAAATTGTGTTTGAGTGTGTGTATTAGCATTATTGTGTTGTGTAAGTTTGTCTAATACATTTTCAAGGACACAGAAAATATATTTTCATCTGTGTTCCCAACATGTAACAGAAACTTGATATTTGTTGAATGAATAAAAATAAGAACAACTGGGATTCCGAGAAGATTGTCAGAGTCATCAGGATGGGGGTTTATGAGTACAGAGACTGTGAGCCAGTGAAAATGGGCTCAAGGTTTAAAGGTACCACTTAGTTGACACACCTGCAGGAGATGAGAGTGAAGGACAAGCCCCAAGTTTCTGACTTGAGTGCATAGGGATGGATGGTGATGGCATAACCAGGATCTGGAATGCAAGGGAGATGAGACAGGTTTGATTCATGAAAAGGCAACTACCTTTCTTTTGCTTTATAGTTTACCTATGTAGGTGGCTTACATCTTCCTAATCATGAACTTTTATTTAAAAAAATAAGCTAGTAACTCTCTAAATCTTTATTAAGTTAAACAGTAACAGTGATAAAATGGTGAACAGTGATCAGTAAAACTAGCGTATCTTATTCCACCTGTACATTCTACCTAAGGAAATTGAAATTATTGGTTTATATTTAGGTTATAACAGTACTTTCAGGATTAGCCAAACAAGAAATTGCACGTGGAGCAATTAGACCTTTCTGAAGTTGGCCCATATTTGTTTTTAATTTGGTAAGGCCAAAATTGGAATATGGAAAGCAGCCAACACTATGAAATGATAGGATTTTAAGTACAGTATAGCAACTATAAAACACAGGAACCACCTAATTTAATCACTTCTCCCTCTTTGGGTATAATAGTGATTTACTATGCAATTATGTGATTACAATTGAGATTTTCATGAAACGATGTTCATGAAACATTTAAATGCTTAAAAATAATAATTAAAGGTTTGCCTTCTGATTCAAATAAAAAGAATAGGATTTGAGAATAAGAGTAAACATATTCTTTTTTTTTTTATTTTTTATTTTTTTTTTTTTCTTGCGTTATGCGGGCCTCTCACTGTTGTGGCCTCTCCCATTTGCGGAGCACAGGCTCCGGACGCGCAGGCTCAGCGGCCATGGCTCATGGGCCCAGCCGCTCCGCGGCATGCGGGATCCTCCCGAAACGGGGCACGAACCCGCGTCTCCTGCATCGGCAGGCGGACTCTCAAGCACTGCGCCACCAGGGAAGCCCAACATATTCTTATATATGGGGAGATCAGCTTGTTGTTTTGTGACCACCTAGATGGGTGGGATAGGGAGGATGGGAGAGAGGCGATATGGGGATATATGTATACATATAGCTGATTCACTTTGTTATACAGCAGAAACTAACACACCATTGTAAAGCAATTATACTCCAATAAAGATGTTAGATAAATAAATAAATGAACCAGTACATCTTTTGAAATGCTGACTACTTAAAGTTGTTCTGTTACTGCCATTTAACTTTCCTGGATAAAACAAGGTATTTCAAAGTGCCAGACATACACAGTACTATATATGAAATGATTCAAAGCAAATTTGTTGCTTAATCAATGCCAAACAAAGTAAAATGGAAAATCTAAAAAAGTAACATGGAAAATCGTAATATGTATTCTAGGAAGATATCTTGTGGTTTTCCACATCCTGATCATTTATAAATTTGAACAGAAAATGTTACAATAGTGGGTTAAGTATAGAATTCAAAACTGTTAGTGTTTGACTTGAACAAGGGTAATTTGTACAGAATATAAATGTCATAATTGCACAGTGTGCTGAAAACTATCTGTGATTTATAAATAGAGGCAGAATTCAGTACTATTCTATTCGATACTGTGAAAAGAAGCTAAGAAGATTCCTAAGCCGACAAAACATGAAAAATACGTGTTCTTGGCAATTGAAATTGTAAGAATGATGGGATTCATCAAGTGAAAGTGCCTTTTCTCTATGCAAACTGGTTATCTTTTTCAGATTTGAAACAAATCTGTATTCATGAAGAGTGACTGCATGCAAACCACAACATGTCAAGAAAGAAAAAATGATCCAATAGAAATGCTTCTTTCTGGGCAGCTGGTAAAAGTCTGTGCCCCAATGGTGCGATATTCAAAGTAAGTATTGTTAAATGGTTAATGAACTTAGGTGTGATTTCCTTTTTATGCTCTGACTTCTTAAAAGGAAGACCACCCCACCACATGGGATCTTCAAACGCCTAGCTTTGGGACCAGGGTCCGGGCTTGAGTCCTCATGCTGCCAACTGCCTGGTATGTGTATGATCTAAGTGGTCAGACAGTATTTGTCTCTTTGAGACTGGCTTATTTCACTGAGCATAATATCCTCAAGGTTCACCTATGTTGTACCATGTATCAGAATTTCCTTTATTTATTTATTTTTTATTTTTATTTTTTTTTGCGGTACGCGGGCCCCTCACCGTTGTGGCCCCTCCCGCCGCGGAGCACAGGCTCCGGACGCGCAGGCTCAGCGGCCACGGCCCGCGGGGCCCACCTGCTCCGTGGCATGCGGGACCTTCCCACACCGGGGCACGAACCCACGTACGCCGCATCGGCAGGCGGACTCTCAACCACTGCGCCATCAGGGAAGACCCAGAATTTCCTTCCTTTTTAAGGCTGAAAAATATTCCATTGTATGTATATACTACATTTTGTTTATCCATTCATCCCAGCTTGAATTGCTTCCATCTTTTGACTCTTGGGAATAATACTTCTGTGAACATGGATATATAAATATCTTTTTGAGACCTTGCTTTCATTCTTTGTGGTATATGCCCAGAGGTGGAATTGCTAGATCATATGACAAATCTATTTTTAATTTTTGAGGAATTGCCCTGCTATTTTCCATAGCAGCTACACCATTTTATATTCCTACCAGCAGTACACAAGAGTTTAGTCTCTCAGCATTCTCATCAACACTTGTTGTCTTCCAGGGTTTTTTTGTTGTTGTTTTAATAGCCATCCTAATGGATGTGACTTATCTCATTGTGGTTTTTATTTGTATTTTTCTAGTGATGTTGAGCATCTTTTCATGTGCTCATTGGCTATTTGTATATCTTCTTTGGCACAATGTCTCTTCTAGCCCTTTGCCCATTTTTGAATCAGATTGTTTGGTTTTTTGTTGTTACTGTTGTGTTTACTCTGGAGTTTTGAGAATTCTCTATACTAGATACTACTCTTGTCAGATATGTGGCTTGCATATATGTTCTCCCAGCATGTAGCTTGTCTTTTCATCCTCTTAACAGGGTCTTTGGCAGAGCAAAAGTTTTTATTTAATGATGAAGTCCATTTTATCAATTTTTCCTTTTGCAAATTGTGCTTTTGTTGTCAAGTTTAAGAAATTTTTATGTAGCTCTAGATATTAAAGATTTTGTCCTATGTTTTTTCTAAAAGTCTTTTAGTTTATGGTTTACATTTAAGTTCATAATTTTTAATTAATTTCTGTCTAAATGTGAGACTTAGGCTGAGGTTTGTTTGTTTTTGCCTGTAGATGTCTAATTACTCCAGTACTATTTGTTGAAAAGACTATCTTTCCACTATTGAATTACTTTTGCATCTTCATCAAAACTCAGTTGAGCATGTTTGTATGGTTCTTTTTCTGCATTCTCTGTTCTAATCCCTTGATCTATGTGTCTGTCCCTCTACCAATACCACACAGTCTTGATTACTGTAGCTATATAATGTCCTCAAATTAAGTAAGCTTAATAAATCCCACTTTTCTTTTTCAAAATTGTTTTAGCTATTCTAGTTCCTTTGCCTTTCCAAATAACTTTTAGGATGATCTTTTCTATACCTACAAAAAAATCCTGCTGGATTTTCCATAAGAATTGTATGAAAAATGCACATCAGTTTGGGGAGAACTGAATTCCCTACTGTGTTGAGTCTCCTCATGAACACGGTATGTCTCTCCATTAATTTAGATCTTCTTTGATTTCTTTCATCAGTGTCGTATAGTTTTTTTTTTTTTAATTTATTTATTTTAGGCTGCGTTGGGTCTTAATTGCTGCGTGCAGGCTCTCTAGTTGTGGCGAGTGGGAGCTACTCTTCGTTGCAGTGCGCGGGCTTCTCATTGGAGTGGCTCCTCCTGCTGTGGAGCTCAGGCTCTAGGCTTGTAGGCTCCAGTAGTTGTGGCTCGCGGGCTCCAGAGCGCAGGCTCAGCAGTTGTGGCGCACGGGCCTAGCTGCTCCGCGGCATGTGGGATCCTCCCGGACCAGGGATCGAACCCATGTTCCCTATACTGGCAGGCCGATTCCCAACCACTGCGCCACCAGGGAAGCCCCAGTGTCGTATAGTTTTCAGCGTACATTTTCTGTACATATTTTGTAAGGCTTACACTCCAGTTATTGTACTTTTAATTTCAGTGTCCATGTGTTCATTGCTGGTGTTTAGAAGTAAAATTGCTTTTTGTGTGTTGGCCTTACATTATGTGAACTTGCTATGTTTACTTACTGGTTCTAGGACGTCCCTCTTACAAATTCCTTAGGATTATCTAAGTAGACAATCATGTCATCTGCAAATAGAGATAGTTTTACTTCCTTCTTTCCATCAGATGCCTTTTGTTTCTTTTTCATGCCTTATTGCACTGACTAGAAGTTGCAGCACTGTACTGAATAAGAGTGATGAGAGCAGACATCTTTCCCTTGTTCTTGATCTGGGGGGAAAGTATTCTTTCACCTATAATTGGGTTGGCCAAAAAGTTCATTTGGGTTTTTCCATAAGATCTTACGGAAAATATATATAAAGATCCTAATATAATATTAAGTGTAGAATTTTTTGTGGATGTTCTTTATCAGGTTGAGAAAGTTCCCTCTATTCCTGTTTTCCTGAGAGGCTTTTTTTTTAAATCATGAATGCTGTTTTGTCCAGTGCTTTTTCTGCATCAATTGATACAATCATGTGATTTTCTTTGCTTTAGCCTATTAAAGTGATGGATTACAGTGATTGATTCTGAATATTGAAATTTCTGTTTTAACTAGCTTTTTCTGACACCACCACAGCAGGGGAAGGATGAGAAAGCACCACCTCATTACTCTCAAGTGGAGGTAGAAGCCTAGGTTTTCCACTTGGTCTCCTTTGACACCCCAGGGGCACGAGGCTCCTCATTACTGCTGAGCAGGGGTGAGAGTTCCAGCTCCCCATGCAGGGGGTGGCCTGGTAACTGCTGGGCAATGATGAAAGTCCTGGCTCTTCACTAAGCATTCTCTAACACTACTCCCAGAGAAAGGGAGAAGGGCACCTCACTGCTGCAGGGTTGGTGTGGAATTCCAGGCTCCCCAGATGGTCTCTGCTGATTCCCTCCTTGTTACTGGCCGGCAGGGATTAAAGTCCCAGCTCCCTACCTGGCCTTCTCTAACACCACCGTGGAGGGGTGTTGGAGAACTTTGTGACAGCTTTGGAACGGTACAAGTGTAAGCTCCCCACTCGACCTTTGCTTGTGGAGGTGAGGGCCACAGTTTTTTCACTGCTGTTGGGCAGGAGTAGAGCCATTATTATTTTAAAGCTTGCTAGGCTGCCCCTTTCTTGGTGCTTTGGCTAGAGAGCAGGCTTTTGCTGGAGCTGTTTTTGTCTGCACCCATTGCTATTTCCAGGTTGCCAGCTTCTTCAGCTTCAAATCTGGGATATTTGAGGCAACGAGAAAACCCAGGGAACTCACCGTTGTCGTTCCTTAGGTCCTGCCCGAGGTCACTAGCCTGCCTGCCCTCTTCTTGCCACCTTTCAGAGTTTCCGTATGTTTGTTTTGTATATGATATCCAGAGCTCTTAGTTATACTAAGCAGGAGGGATAGGGAACAGTACATCTACTGCACTTTCCCATAGGCAGAACTTTTCTCTAATAAATATTAAATATTTAATAATTAACTAAACTAAACTCTGATTATGGTGCTTTCTAAATGCCTAATTAAAGTTTTATATGCTCTCAGGTTGGCTTTTAGAACACTGGTAAGAAAATACAGTTGCGATCTGTGCTATACGCCAATGATAGTTGCTGCTGATTTTATCAGATCTGTAAAAGCCAGAGACAGTGAATTTACCACAAACCAAGGTATGTGAAAGCTAGAGTTTGCTGCCTTTGTAAAACTTTAAAAACAAAACAACATAACTCAACACTCTTGTCTAATCAGAGACAACACAATTCGGAGATATTATTTTTAAATCTTTCAGTTTCTTATGGTTTTTATAAATTTTTTAAAATATGTTTTTACTTAGTACCTTGTAAACTATGGATAATATATCAAAGTTTTAGTCAGCCCCATTTTCTCACCTAGACTATTGGGTTAGATTCCTATCTCACTGCCTCCAGTCTTATCCCATTTCAAACTACCCTCCAGACAGCCCCAAGTGACCTCTCTAAAATGTAAATTTGATCACTTCTTCTTGCTCACAATCTTCCTTAGACTTCTAATCACCTAAAACAGTGGTTCTCAAAGTGTGATTTCCTAGACAAGTTAACATCAGCATTATCTGAAAACTTGTTAGAAATGGAAATTCCAGACTCCACCGCAGGCCTACTGAATCTGAAACTCTGGGTATGTGTCGGGCAATCTGTGTTTTAAAAAGCCCTCCAGGTGATTCTGAGCTTGTCAAAGATTGAGAGCCACTGACCTAAGGAGTAAAATTCCAGCACGTGTGGACAATATAGAAAGTTCTTCATGATCTGGCCTCTGAATATGTGTTCTGCAGCTTTATCTTCCATTAGTTTCTCTCCATGGCCCACCAACTTTATTCTTGAAAATACTAAGTTATTGGGGCTTCCCTGGTGGCGCAGTGGTTGAGAGTCCGCCTGCTGATGCAGGGGACACGGGTTCGTGCCCCTGTCTGGGAAGATCCCACATGCCACGGAGCGGCTAGGCACGTGAGCCATGGCTGCTGAGCCTGCGCATCTGGAGCCTGTGCTCCACAACGGGAGAGGCCACAACAGTGAGAGGCCCGCATACCGCAAAAAAATATATATATATACACTAAGTTATTTTAAGTCCCTGAACATGCCCTAATCTCTCACACTTCTCTACCTAGAATGTCCTTCTTAGTCAGGCCTATCCCCGCATCCCTATCCCCCTGGGAAAGGACAGTTCGTGCTTCTTAATGCTGTAAAACTGTGACCAAGGAGCTTGCCTAATCACCCTCCATTCATGTCCTGTCTCGCAAGCCCCGGCTTTTTGTTGTACTTAATCCTACTGTACTGTAATTTCCTCCTCACAAGCCTGCCTCCCACTAGACTATGGGCTTCTTGAGGGTTGGAATTCTTTCTTGTTGATTTGTATCCTCAGCTTCTAGCACAGCATTGAAAATATATTTGACCAATAAATGGTTGTTAGATTGAAATTTTATAACTCTCTTGAGTTACAAAGGAGAAAGCACCCTACCTACATCCTCAGGAAAAAGCAAATTCTCCTATCCCTTAGATAATCCTGTGAATCAGTGGATTGCCATAGAAATTCTGAGTCAGTAGAACTAGAGCGATACCCAGAAATCTGCATTTTGGTAAACACCCAGTGAATCTGATACAGGTAGTCCTCAAAAAACACTTTAGAAAAGTTAAAATACATCTATTCAGAATTTATAACACCCAAAGATGAGAAAAATGTGTCCTTTAAAACCTAGGAAAGCTCTGATACATTTGGCTATGTTAAAATTTAGACTTTTATATATAAAAAAAGAGCACAGATATTCTCAAAGACAAATGAAAAACTGGGGAAAATATAATATTTTTGATGTTTATGATAGCAGAGCTAATTTCTTTGTTTTATTTTTTTAATTTAAATAATAAAAAAGCAACTAAAAGAAAAAGTGTACATAGAGAACTACGCAAAGAATATGGAGAGAGAGGCTACAAATAAAAAAAATATGCTGTTGGGTATACAGTGTAGGACAAGTTGTAAGGAAATCAGAACTGTCATCCACACTGGTGTATATCTATATTGGTAAACTTTTGAAAGAAGATTTTGTAATGTCTTTCAAAATGTTAGATGCCCCGCCCAGCAGTTATACTCCTAGGAATTTACTTCTTGAATATACTCACAAAAGCAAGTATATGGAGTATCTTCACTGCAGCATTGTTTGCAAGAGCCGCAAATGAAAACTAATCTATGGTCCATCCATCACAGTGGAATACGCCGCTAAAAAGAGGAAAATAGGTCTGAATACAGGTCCCAGATACATCTGGGGGAAAACACAATATGGATAGCAATGTACATAGAATGTTCACATTTGCTTAAATTTTATAGGTATTCATAAAATTGTTCTAGAATGCAGTAAGCTAATTCCCACCTTTGGGAAAGGGGTCTGTTTGGCAAGAGTGTTGTACTTTTCATTTTATCAAATTTTTTACTATTTGAATTTGTACCAAATCTAAATTGCATGTAATTTAAAATATCTTAAATTATTTTACTGTTATCTTGTTTGAACAGATGCTTCTTAGGCTAAAAATTGTTATTGTTACTTTATCCTGTACAGACATTAGAATTTGGTATCTCGTGTGCATGTGTGTGTGTTTCTGTGAATTTTAATGTTGAGCTATTTGTTTTATCAGGTGATTGCCCATTGATTGTTCAGTTTGCTGCTAATGATGCAAGAATTTTGTCTGATGCTGCTCGTATAGTCTGTCCTTATGCGAATGGAATAGACATTAACTGTGGTTGTCCTCAGAGGTAAAGCTCAAAGAAGTTGGAAGCATTTTCAAAAAGATTAGGAAAAACTATGTGAACATGGTAAACTATCATTCTGGTATTCCAAAAATTAAAAAGTAAGGAAAATAGAGATAAAGAACTTGGGCTCTAAATAAGAAGCAAGAAAAACTAAGGAAATATTATTTAGAAACATACATGCAAAGATATTTTCTGATGGCTACAACAATATATAGACCCTTGACAAGTTTTTGTCTCACCTCACCACTAGAATTTTTTTTATGTGTGGATCTGCCTTGAACCTCATCCATAAGTAATTATGTGAGACTGATGTTTATGGCAATCCCTAAAATGTATTTTTACTGCTCTGTCAGACATACTTGCTCTAAACACTATGATTCTATGATTTGGGAGATCACTTGTTTTCTCTTACTTAATTTCAATTATAAGAAAACCTTCTTTTAATTACCTTTTCTTCCTATACCATAGTTATTTGGTTGAGTCTGAGTAACTGGGTGTTGATAGGATGTACTTATTTTGATGATAATATCCCTACCTTCCTGGCACTACACTAGATTATCTGTCAATAATTCAAAATGTGTTCAAAGAATAAAATCAAGGTTTTATGTATAGCATAATCCAAATCAGATTAGATATATTTGAATACTCATTAGGAGAGTTCAGTAAGCTGTTTAGTGGTATTGGAATGCTGTAAGCCAAAAATATCTTTCCTCTTAAGATTAATAAAACCTCTTGTTATGTACAATAAACATCAAATTTGGAATTAAAAAATCTGAAGTAATTGCAGTTACAAATACTTAAATCTGTTTTGGTTGAATGAACTTTAATTTTCTCACTTGCCAGTGGAAACCATTTCCCCTAAGTATTTCTTGATCTGGGAACATGTTTTCTTAATCTCAATACACTTAGAAGTGTTGGATCTATGAATTTTAAAAATCTGGTTCCATTCCAGGTTTCTAAGTAGAGAAATAATAAATGCACTTACTGTGCTTTTAGAATTGTATCTTCTCTTCCAGCTGATAACAATTTATTTGTTGTTGTATTTACTTTATGAAGGTGGGCATTGGCAGAAGGTTATGGAGCTTGCTTAATAAACAATCCAGAGCTTGTTCGAGACATGGTGAAACAAGTAAGAAATCAAGTGGAAAATCCCAGATTTTCAGTATCTATTAAAATAAGGTAAAGATAATATTTTAATCTACTGACAAGATAGTCCATTACTCAGGAAATAAAAGAATATTCCTTTTGTCTGAAGGTGTGGAGATGTCTACTGTTAGTAAGTAGGCATCTAGTATATGAAAATGTTAAAACAAAACATTTAGTAAATGAATAGATACCATAATTTTTATTTATAATCCAAAACAATTTCTTCTTCGCATTTTTTAAGAAAAATTAAAATATCCCTTTATTATTAAAAACTCTCTCCCAAGAGAAACAACTTTTTCCATGTACTATTTAATTAACTAATGCTAAGAGACATTCCTGATACCAAGGGTAGAAAATAGGAATGATATTTGCACTAAAATTTCACAGTGAAAAGAAAATAAACTAAAAATTAGTCTTTTGGTGACAGGTTAAAAACAAATCTCAAGATAAATTATTATAATTCTCCCACTTGCGGATTGGAGCATGCACAGCAAATATTAAGATAGCACCTTTCAATGCATCTGTGATAGTACTTTGATTAATCTTTCAGTTATCAAAGCCAAAAGAGAGGAGCACTGGGTAAAAGTTATTTGTCATCCTATTGTTATCGATAGTGAAATAGCTAAATTCGGGGTCTTGAATGGGAACTGATTCCTGAACAAAACCTCACTGATAGCGGCACGTGGTGATAATATGATACAGCATATCTAAACTAAATAATGTTAACAGATGAAATATTTTTCTATTTAGTATATTGATGTTAGCATTAAGATTTGTGTGCTGTGAAAAGATAGATATGATTTTGAAATTATAGGATCCATGATGACCTTACAAGAACTGTAGATCTTTGTCGAAAGGCTGAAGCGACAGGGGTTTCCTGGATTACAGTCCATGGAAGAACTGTTGAAGAAAGGCATCAGCCAGTTCACTATGAGGCCATTAAAATAATTAAGGAAAATATGTCTATACCTGTAATTGCTAATGGAGACATCAGAAGCTTAAAAGAAGCAGAAAATGTGTGGCATATTACTGGGACAGATGGTAAGAAATAATTACTTTAGTTTTTTTGTTTTCTAATTAGCAGAAAAATTAAAAAGTGGGGGTGGGAGAATAATGTTAATGTGATTTTCATTATTTTTCTTTCATATGGAGCCATATTTTCCTGTTTCACCAATTTAAGCCAAGCAATTTACTAAAATGATGTTAATCCTTCTACTTAGAAACAACAGATTATTTTAACTGGGGTAAATTAGTTCAGTTAATTCTCTGCCACCATCTCATCCAGTTAGTGACCACTAGAGCCTATAGAATTCGTGAATCCAAGAGTGGTCATAGGAGCCAAAGAAACCCCAGACTGCTATGCAGTTTCATTATCCCCTTCAACTTTGGCATACCAAGCCCTGTGATACCTATTGCTGGATGAGAGAATGCAGATAAACTTCAAGCAAACCCAGTTTATGACAATCCAGATTTACTCTTAAAAAAATCCAGAAAACTAATTTTTTAATGTAGAAGTCTTTAAAATATAAGAAAAAAGTCTTGTGAGTTCATTTACACTTAATTGGTTTATAAAAAATATCAAAATGAATCCTTTAATAAGAATTAGTCTAATACAAGGGCATTGTGAAACCTTGTAATAATACTTCATTTTTTAATATTCTCAGTTTGTTTCATTGAGTTTGACCCCATAACCATGAGTTCTTAATGTGTGGACAAACGTGATGTGCTTTAATTTATAGGTGTGATGGTTGCAAGAGGACTCTTAGCCAACCCGGCCATATTTGCTGGATATGAGGAAACCCCACTGAAATGCATCTGGGACTGGGTTGACATTGCTCTTGAACTTGGAACTCCTTATATGTGTTTCCATCAACATTTAATGTACATGATGGAAAAGATAACTTCGAGGCAGGAAAAAAGAATATTTAATGCTTTGTCAAGCACATCAGCAGTCTTAGATTACCTTACAGACCATTATGGGATTGATTGGACTCCCTAAATTATTTTCTATCTTTAGTGAAACCACCCAGGGTCACATCTTGGTTTTCACTGTGAATCAGTGGCTCTCAAACATTAGTATAAAAACAATGCCCTGACAGAATTTTTAAAAGTCATTCCTAGACCATATCCTCAGAGATTCTGATTCAGTAAATCTCTAGGGTGGACCCAAAATTTAGTTTTAAAGAAGACCCCAGGTGGTTCAAATGTTGACAAACATTGCTCTGAATCCTATTATGAATTTAAAACTGTAAGAATTTTTTTCTTAAAGGAATCATGTTTTTAACATTTTAAATAAATAAAACTTTTTATTTTGATACTAAAAGTATGACTCATGGTATCTGTAAGTTAACATTAGGTATGTTTTAAATGAAAATAAGAGCAGAAAAGTGTGAACAAATTCCAACATCTGTATAAAATGAAAAGGAACAAGAAATTCTGTATAGAATTGCATTCAGGGCTTAAATTAAAAGTTCAAATTGGAAAATCAAACTGCTACTTCCTAATTCATGAATTTCAAACCTCAAGGTATTTCTTTAAATTGTATGTAATAGAAGTTAATTAGATGTGATGTTTTCTATAATTTAAAACTAAGATTCCATGAAATTCTTTAAATGATATTAAATTTGTTACATTTCAAGCCTTCTAAATCTTTAGAAGATTGAGAACTTGGTAAATATACCTATACTTAAAATGATGTTAATTTCTGTCCCCCACATCTTAAATATAAAAAAAATTGGTAGCTAATCTGGAGATGATTACACAGTCAGCCCTCGGTGCTAGACCACTTTGTATATGGGACTTGAGCATCCACAAATTTTGGTACCCACAAGAGTCTTAGAACCAATGCCCCACAGATTCCAAGGGACAGCTGTGTATTTGAAATATTATTTCCTGGAGAACAGTAACCATGTTTTATTTTTAAGTTAAAAACCTAATTTTCATACCCTGTTAATAGTGTTATTTTTATGCTTCCCAGCAGTTGATGATAATTTTAACTTTAAAGTCCCATGGTTTAGGGAATTCCCTAGCAGTCCAGTGCTTAGGACTCCCGGCTTTCACTGCCAAGGGCGCAGGTTCAATTCCTGGTGGGGGAACTAGGACCCCTGGAAGCTGCGTGGCACAGCCAAAAAAACAAAAAATTTTTAAAAATAAAGTTCCATGGTTTGGGGATGTCACTAACAGAATTTTGTTGATGGTGAATGTGCCACTGCAAGAATTATCTCAGCGACTTCCCTGGTGGCACAGTGGTTAAGAATCTGCCTGCCAATGCAGGGGACATGGGTTCGATCCCAGGAAGATCCCACATGCCGCAGAGCAACTAAGCCCACGTACCACAACTACTGAGCCTGTGCTCTAGAACCCGCGTGCCGCAACTACTGAGCCCACACGCCATAACTACTGAAGCCTGCTGGCCTAGAGCCTGTGCTCTGCAACAAGAGAAGCCACCGCAACGAGAAGCAAGTGCACCACATGAAGAGTAGCCCCCACTCCCTGCAACTAGAGAAGGCCCGCAAGACCCAACACAGCCCCCCCAAAAAAAAATTATCTCAGGTTAAGATAAAACAGTTCTGTAATTAAGATATTGGTCTATATTACCAACATAAAAACTGTTATAAGGAGACAATTATCTAAAACTGCTTAATTCAACAGTTTGGAAATATTAAATAAATCCGTTTTAACATAAGCACTATGTTGCCATATTATTTTTTAAGGCACGTTCTGTGCTTTCATTTTTCAATTAACGGGTCTTTAAAGATAACTGGCTTTTTCATTAAATATGAGTAGTATATTAGCAAATAGGGAGCTATAGTCAAAACTTAGTGATTTCTACGTTTGTAAATTAACTCTGTTACACCAGTGTTCTGAGGACAGCAGCATAAAGTAAGGTGTACAGCCGTTCAAGGAAACAGTGTAGAAAGGCAAGGAGTTCTAAACGCCTTTGATTTTTTTTTTTAAGTTCCTTATGGTTAATTTATGTTGTCTTTTTTTCTTTTCTATGTAATCAAGTATACTTGTGGTAAGAGAAAGCACTGATTTAAATGTGTTTTTATATTCAATAACCACCTCTTGTTTTCACCATTTGTTTAATCTTCCCAAAATAATCGTCTCCAGGAGAATACTTTTATGTGCATTCCTGATACGTTGTTAATATTGGGGGGGGGGGGATGTTTAAAATTTTGAGTGTTTCACGCAATTTGAAAACCTGGAAAAAAGTAATTGAAAGAATATACCCATACCCACGTTGTTCTCCTTTCCAGTCAGCCCCCAAACATCACCCGAAAGTGTACTGCCTCTTCCCAGCCCATGGACAAGAGTAGAAAACGTCACACGAAGTGTATGTTGGACGCTACCTATCCTCCTACATTCTCCGAACAAAATGCGGCACAACCAGCTTGTTCTGGACAACGAAACTGTGTCTACGGTAAAATACAAACCAGGAAAGGAGTGTTTTAACCACGTTTACTGAGTGTGCAGCACCCTATCTAACCCTCCCGCCCCGGCGCCACTCCTTCTCGCCGCGGACTCCAGCAAACCCTTTCAGAACGTCGGTTAAGCTCACCCCTCCCACGCAAGCCACACTTCATTAGAAATGTTAACTCAGCTCCCCAGAAGAAGTTGCACGTGGGAACCCAAGCAGCGGATCGGACCCTCTAATCCACCACCAATTAGAAAACAATTTTTGCTAATCATCTTGTTCGCACGCCTGGCACGTAGCCTGGAACCGGCCCCCGAGACCGGAATTGGGAGATGGAGCCTGCGGGGCTGCGGGTGGGAACGGGGCGCGCTCCCCTCCGCCCGCCGCTGCGTGTGACGTCCCACGCGTCGGCGGCCGCGGAGCAGCGCGGGGAGCCAGGCGGCCTCAGACGGGGTAAGGCCGGGCAGGACGTCAGGGGGCCGCGGGCCCCGAGGCGGCGTGGAGCGCGGGGTCGCACCGCCCTCGCCGCGGTGGGACCGCGGGGTGGGCTCTGCCCCCGGGCGCCTTCGCTGGGCGGGAGGGCCCCCAGGCGCGGACGTTAGCAGAGGCTGGCGTTAGGCTACTGACGCCGCGAAGCTGGACGGAAAGCACTTCCGCGGTGCCGCTCAGACCGCCTGGCCCGTTCCGCAAGGCTAGCTGGGGAGGTGCAGACGCCGGCCTCCGGGCCCACCCTCAACCCACTCCCTCCCCTCCCCCAACTCCCCGCCCCGGGTCTCTAACGGGCGCCTCCCGTTGAGGGGAAAGTCTGATCCCATAAACCTCCTGGCCGGAAACCTCGCGCCCCGGGGACCTTTCCTTAAACCAAATCTTCTTGGAAAGGCGGTGGGGTGAAATAAGTGTTTCTCTACTTAGGTGTGAAGAAAAAAAATGACACTTCAATGGGCGGCAGTTGCAACTTTTCTTTACGCTGAAATAGGACTCATTTTAATCTTCTGTCTACCTTTTATTCCTCCTCAGAGGTAGGAAACCTCCCAAGTGTTACAATAATAAATATATGATGAGCTCTTTAGACGGTTTAGTGTGTTAACGGAAAAAGTTTTCTTAAGATTAAAAAGGTTTCAGTGCTGTTAATATAAAAGGCGCTGTTTAGAAATAAACTCACAAACCAATTAGGTAATATATGATGACCATATTAAAATATCACATTACATAAAACTTTTTATTATATGTACAAATAACTTTTCCACCTTTCTTCTATAGGAAGGGCCTCGTCTTTTCTGTTCTTTTGATTGCAGATGTAATAAAGCAATGGTCATACTTTTGTCACCGGTCTTGTCGTTACCTTTTACCTTCGTTTTATTGCCCTGAATTACAGCAGTGAACTTAAAGTAAATGCATAAGTGCTGTTTACAGCACAGCATGATGCAGAAATGTTTCAGTGGGGCAGTGGAATGACCATTTGGAAACTTAAGCCAATAAATGATTCTTAGTTTTGGCCTTACATAATTCATTAGTGTTCATTTAATGGCAATTTCACCACTTTATCCTCACACAGAATTAATATATATTAAACGTACTAAATATGAAAAGTATCAGAACCATACATTAGCATTAGTTCCTTAGTAAAGGACCTTCGAAGGTCTTTCCGTACTATTTCGATCGAAGCCTTGGCTCACTTTACCCCTGTAATAACCCACTTATTAGGAGTTCAGTTTTACCTCGGGACTGGATAGTGTGAATGATAAAATACACCTGTATAAAAATGTTGCAAGACATTTGTTCACATAAAAGAAAGTAAATGAGATCTAGAGATAACCCACTGAAATTTAGTAAGATTCCTCTACTGGAAGAGACTTAAGAAAAGTTTTTATCTTGACTCAGGGTCCGGTAGTCTTCTGTTTTTATCTATCAGCTGTACCATCACTATTTTCTTTCTCACAAAAGGAAAAATTGAATTGTTATGTAGGAAGGGGCCTTTGAGATGATTTTATTCAACCCATTCATTCTATGGGAAAGTGGCCTGACTGAGGTCATCTAGCTGATCTGTGGCAAATTCTGCCTTTCAGTCTAGTGCTTTTTCTGTTCCATCACCCTATCTCTTATCCTGTTGATTTTGTTTCAAATCCTTACTAATACCCTGTTAAGCTTTTTGGTAATACTTGCAACAGTAGAATCCTATATTCAAGAGAAAGATGTTATTTATAAATATCTGACTTATAAATAAGGCTTAAGAATTTCCAAAAATTTTTCTTTGTCACTTGATCTCTTCTCCATCAAAATCGTGCATAAATTATGGATTTTTTTCCTGCCAAATATAATTTTTTCCTGTCCTGATCAAGTATCGATTTGTTAGATTTGTGTATATGTACATACATTATATAAATATATCCTCATGGACAAATATACTTAAGAAAAATATGGTATATATGCACACAGATAATTTACAATATGTCCTTAACGTGTGTATCCACATCTTTTTTTACCTTTCATACGTGTAATCACCATACTCTTCAAGGAAAAGTCTTCGTTGAATTTGGCTGTCCACTTTTTTCTCACATACCCACTGGTTAAAGACACATCTCAGAGATCAGACTGCCTGGGTTTATATCCCAACTCTGCAAGTTACTGTGTGCCTTTGGGCAATTTATTTACCATCTCTGGCCAGTTTCCTCATCTGTAAAATGGAGGTAATACTAGTATCCACCTCATATGGTGGTTGTGGAGATTAAATGAGCTAAAACATGTGCAAGTGCTTAGAAGGGAAGTATGGTAAGGACTCTATAGTAGCTATTGTTAGCTTTGCCTTGAATGGAGCCTTATTATAAACTGCTCATTGTTCCCTGTAGGGGGTCTCTTTTGTGTTCTCTTTTATACTGTCAATTTACTTGAAATGTGAATTTACATTTGGACCTAGATCAAGGTATTGCCACTTATGTTCTCTTTCTTAAAATACAAATCTTTGTAATGTAAAATTTGAATAGCATCCTTGGATGGAAGCATAGAAGCAAAAGAAACTGCATTGGTATCAATCTCTGTCTCCCCCAAACTTAAGGTTATTAGAGTTGTTTTCAAAACATAATAAAGTAAGACCTTTTTTTTTTAAGTTGTAAGAATTTGAAGTTTACTTAAGTGCTTATTACCTTTATATGTCTCCTTTGGGCTCAGTTAATGTGTTACTCATTTAAAATGCCCTTGTGCAAAGTTTGTTACCCTTTCAATTGTGTGATGGATTACTTTGTCACTCTTTGCCATTTATAATCCATGCTTTCTTACCTCTGTGTCTTTGCTTATACTGTTCATTCCATCTAGACTATTTCTTTTTTTTTTTAATTTTACTTTCTCAAATATTGATCTGGGTGGTAATTACATGGGTATATACACGCATAAAAGTCCATCAAGCTATACATATCTTAAATATACATACACATATATAAATTTATATATATATATTTTGTTTGTTTGTTTGTTTTGTTTTTTGTTTTTTGGCCACGCTGCACTGCTTGTGGGATCTTAGTTCCCCAACCAGGGATTGAACCCAGGCCCTCGGCAGTGAAAGCTCAGAGTCCGAACCACTGGACTGCCAGGGAATTCCCTTTCATGCTACATATTTAGGATTTTTGCTCTTTACTGTGTATGTGTAATACCTCAATGATTTTTTAAATTTCCTTATGGTAAAAGTAGAGAAACTTTTTTACTTGGAGTAGATGTTGAAAGTGCATGTATTTTTTTTTCATTATTAAAATAAATAGTGCAGAGTCTGACCTCTTACTCCTGAAATGTTGTTAATTGTTAGAACAATAGATCTTTGTTATTTCTGAGTTACTGTCCTGATTAGGGAGATGATATAAAGTGATAACTTCTATCAGCAATTTAACATTTTACTGTAAGAATTCCTTTTTAAGGTTTTGATCATGTATATTTGCTTTAAAAGTTATTTTTACTTTAGAATATTTAAGCCACCAGACAGAAGATAATCAAATGTCAGATTATTATTAAATTTGAAAGAGGTTGTTCTTTATTTCTTGAGACATTCTTATTGGTAAGAATTGGTAATTCTCTGGTATGACATAAAAAATTAAATTTCTGTAATTCTTTTCACTCGCTGCACAATTACCAAAATGTTAATTCAGTATTTAGAAAGTATCTCAAAATGTCCCTTTGATTTTTTACACCTGATGTAATTATATTGCTTTACAGATGGCAGAAGATTTTTTCATTTAGCGTCTGGGGTAAAATTGCAACTTTCTGGAGCAAGGCTTCCCTTACTATTATAGTACTATTGATTGTTCTGTTTCTAGGTAAGTATTAGATTCCTCCTTTGACTAAGCTTAACCCTAGTTTTTATATTATTATTAATGTATTCATTGATTTTTAATTAATTAAGTTGGTGTTGCCATTAGTATACAGTTGAATTTATATTACATAGTATATTGATAGTGTATGGAGTAGATAATTGATATATTGATAAATAGTTGATAGATATTACTGTTATATATGCACAAGCATAAATTGCAGCAGAGTGCAGTGCTTCTTAATCTCTTTTCTGTTGTTTTAAGATTTCAGTGCAGTGAAGCATAGCCTATTTTTCAGAGTTACCAGTTATACAGTGATTTGTTATTTTGGTATCCTAGGCACCCAGGGGCTTAGCTCTTAGGGAGGCAAACAGAGGAGTAGAATCACTAGGACCTCAAAAAGAGTTTTAGATGCAGGCTGTGAATCTTGATTGGATCCTGGTTGAAAAACAACAACAGCACACATATTTAGGGACTACTGCAAAAATTTGAACATGGACTGGTTGTTAGATAATCTTAGGGAATTTCTGTTAACTTTAGTTGTGATAACAATGTTATTATTATAAAGCAGAAGTCAGCAACCTACAGCCCGCAGACCAAATGCCTATTTTTGTAAATAAGGTTTTATTAGAATATAACCATGCCCATTTGTTTATGTACTGTCTATGCATGAACAGCTGCAGAGTGGAGTAGTTGAAACAGAAACGGTGTGGCCTAAAACATTCACTGTTTGCCTTTAGAGAAAAAGTTGCTCTAAAAAGTTTCACACCTGTGACATAGGAGTATGTCCTTATGCTTAGGAGTTGCATGCTGAAATATTTAGAAGTGTCATGATAGTTACAACTTACTTTCAAATGGTTAAAAAAAAACAAGTAAAGCAAATGTGGCAAAATGTTAATTGTTGAATCTAGATAGTGGAATATGGATGTTTATTGTACTAGTTTTTCAGCATGTTTGAAATTTTCATGATAACAAGTACCTTAGAAATTAGAAATCAGAAGTAGACTTTTTTTTTGAAGTGGAAAAGAATAGCTTTATTGCTTTGCCAGGCAAAGAGGGCCACAGTGCGCTAATGCCCTCAAAACTGTGTGTCCTGACCTGGAGGGGGTAGTGAGGAGTTTTATATTAATGGTTCAAAGAGGGCATGATCCGCTCGTGGACATTCTTCTGACTGGTTGGTGGTGAGGTAATCGGGTGTCAGCATCATCAACGTTCTGGTTCCAACCGGTCTGGGGTCTACGTGCTTGTGGGCAACATGCAGTTAACTTCTTCCACTTGGCTGGGGTTTTAATAACTCAAAAACGTGCAGACTTTTCCATCATTTCCCCTTTTGATTGTAGGTCTTTCAGTAGGAAACACTGATGAGCAAAATATCTGTCTCTTGATGCCAGGGTGATTCAGCTTCTTGCCGTGGGTGCAGATCATGTCCCTTGGTGGTAGACCTCCTTCATATTTGCCCAGATGCTGGTGGAGGTATTGTGACGTCCAGACAAGACTTTTCTCTAAAAGTAGGCCTTTAAGGTTCTTATCAAACTGGAAATTCCGTGAATCGAAATAGTTACCATGTTTTTTAGAAGGAGTAGCTGAGCTCAGAGAGATTAAGTAACTTGTCTGAGATCACCCAGCTACTTCTTGGCACTTCAGTTTTTGATACCCATTGCAGAGTGTATTTTTCCTCAGAATTCCCTCAGAGTTGTGTTGTGGGTTAGGTAGGTTTTACAGGGGCCATAACCACCACGTATGCCACTGTCTTAGGAGAAAATGTTTCTCACATTCCATATTACCAACCTGTGGGATGGAATCCTCTTTATAAACCAGGATTCACTGGTGTGAGAAGGTATGAGTAGGTAATTGTATCAGGGTATGAATGGGTTTATGCCTCATTTCAAAATGTGTTTGTCTCATGGTAAGTTATTAATGTTACTGATTGAATCTCCAGCCTTGGAAGAAATAACACCAAGCGAGTGAAAAGCAATAAGGAAAACAGGTACCAACTTTGCCACCAGCTAACTAAATGACCTTTGGAATGGCATTTCATCTCTCTGAGTTTGGTTTATCCATTTGCAAAATAAAGGGAGAGAGGAAATAATCCCTGCAGCTCTTGCTAGCTCTAGAAGTGTATTGTGACCTTCCAACTCTAAAATTATCACAAGAACTTCTACTGAAAACTGCCACATATCTATATAAGGAAGGGGAACTTTAGCCAAGCTTCTTTTGGTTACATATATCAGAAATGAACTTCAGCTCACTTGAGCAAGAAAGGGGAATTTAAAGTAAAATATGGGGTTGTTCCACAGCAGCCCAGGGAAGGAAGGAAGCCAAACTCCTAGGAACTGAAGTGTCCTTTTCTTGTCCCTGCATTTCTCACTGGGTCTACTTCACATCTCTACAGACTCTGATACTCAATTCCCACGTCAGAAAATAGGTACCATACAGCTGCCAAGTTTTGTCAATCCAGCGATATGCAAGGATTAATTAGCCATTTCTTTCTTTCTTTTTTTTTTTTTTTTTTTTGTCCGTGCTGCACAGCAAGGCATGTGGGATCTTAGTTCCCCTACCAGGGATGGAACCCACACCCCCTGCATTGGAAGTGCAGAGTCTTAACCACTGGACCGCCAGGGAAATCCCTAACTAGCCATTTCTGAATCCCAATTACAATTCTAAGGGAAAAAATCTGATCAGCTAGTACCAGGTATCCAATCCTCATCTGAGAAGCTATGGCCAGGGGCCACAGCTCACAGAGCAGAATCATGACTGCTGGCTGGAGCCTACATCTGGGGGCAGAGGGAGTAATTAATTCCCAGAGAATAGGAACATCATGGATGGTTAATGCAGGAGCTTTAACCATGGATGGTAAAGACAGGCAGATAGGGACTTATCCGTGAAGGCTCAGTGTTTCCATGTCAGAACAGGGGGATAACACGTACTTCACTGAAGTGTCGGAAGGATAAAATGCAGTTACTTATGTAAAGTACATAGCCCGGTGTTCTCGTCCGCTAGAACAACACTGGTGTAAGTAATGTAAACCCAGTAGGTTTGAATTACTCAAGCTTAATTCATCTTTTATTTTGGAATTTTTTTTCTTGTTGGTCTAATAAGGTAATTATTACAAGGTGTTAATATTCCTAGAGCCAATACTAACAGAAAAGTGTGTGTGCATCTGTGTGTGTTTTAGCACGTTGGAATAGGCAGAAAGGAAGTAGGAAACCCAGGAGAATATGTTTAGTGTCAGCACAAATGCATCTTGGGAATTTGAAAGCTTCCACAAGTGATCCAAAAAAAGACTATCTCTGTGTGCCTTATAGAAAATTGACTTTGTCACACCCTCCCCTTATTGTTGCCCCCATCCCACTTTTCATACATGTTCTCTTCATTATTATGCAAGCAATTCATTCTACAAATGGGTTTGTATGACTATTTACATTTATTCTTTGATAGTGCTTAATCTTTAGCATTTCTCCGTAATGGATCCAGGAGTATTATTCCTGTTTAATTGCCAACGAGTAATGATCTTCACAGTATTATGAATTATTTTTATGAGTTATGTTTGTTTTATTTATTTGTTTTGTAGTGATTGGCATGCTCTTACTATATTGAGGCAATCTGAGAAATAACTAAGCCATGAAAAAGAATGAAATCTTGCCAGTTGTGTCAACATGAATGGACCTTGGAGCATTATGCTAAGTGAAATAACTCAGACAGAGAAAGACAAATACTGTATGAACTCACTCATATGTGGAATCTTTAAAAAAATAAAATCAAGCTCATAGATGCAGAGAACAGATTGGTGGTTGCCAGGGGTGGGTGGTGGGCAAAATGGGTAAAGGGAGTCAAAAGATACAAGCTTCCAGTTATAAAATAAATAAGTCATGGAGATGTAATGTACAGCATGGTGACTATAGTTAGTAATACTATATTGCATATTTGAAAATTGCTAAGAGAAAAGAAAAAAAATTCTGTAACTATGTATGATGATGGATGTTAACTAGACTTGTGGTATTTTACAATATATACAAACATCGAATCTTTTTTTTTAATTAGCAAATTAGGAATAGAAGGAAACTTCATCATTCTGATGAAGAACATCTACAAAAACCTAGAGCTAGCATCATCCTTAGTCAGATGTTGAAAGTTAGCCCCATAAGATTGGGAACAAAGCAAGGATATTCACTTTCACTATTTTTATTCAATTAAGTAATAGATTTTCTAACCAGGATAATAATGTCAAGAAAAACTAGAAAGCATAAAGATTGCAAAGTAAAACAGTCATTTGCAGATGACATGACTGTTTATTTAGAAAATCCTAAAGTATCTACGAGAAAGTTACTGTGTCAAAGAAATATAGTGACATCAAAAAATACAAGGTCAATATACAGAAATGAAGTGTATTTCTATGCTATAATCAATAATTCAAAAATGAAATTTTTGAAAATTCCTTTTATAAATATACCAAGAAACCTAAAAACCTTACAAAAAAACTTTATAAAAATATGTACAAGATCGCAACGCTGAAAGCTACAGAAACATTGCTGGAAGGAATTAAAGAAAATGGAAAATAAAAATATCAATTGGAAAACTCACTATCATTGCAATGAAATAGCACTTCATACCCACTAGGATGGTTATAATCAAAAAGACAGAAAATAGCAAGTGTTGATGAAGATGTGGAGAAATTGGAACCGTCATACTCTGCTTGTTGGAATGTAAACTGGTACAGCTGCTTTGGAAAATAGTTTGGCAGTTCCTCAAAAAGTTAAACATAGAGTTACCATATGATCCAGCAATTCCACTCCTAGGTATATACCAAGAGAAATGAAAACTTATGTCAGTACAAGAACTTGTACATGAATGTTCATGGCAGCATTATTCTTAATAGCCAAAAAGTGGAGAAAATCCAAATCATCTCATGAATGGATAAACCAAATGTGGTATATCTGTACAATGGAATATTTTTCAGTCATAAAAACTAACAAAGTGGACTTCCCTGGTGGCACAGTGGTTAAAAATCCACCTGCCAGCGCAGGGGACACAGGTTCGAGCCCTGGCCTGGGAAGATCCCACATGCCGCGGAGCAACTAAGCCCGTGAGCCACAACTACTGAGCCCGCGTGCCACAACACTGAAGCCCACTGCCTAGAGCCCGTGCTCCGCACCAAGAGAAGCCACCACAATGAGAAGTCTGTGCACCGCAACAAAGAGTAGCCCTCGCTCGCCACAACTAGAGAAAGCCCGTGCACAGCAACAAAGACCAAATGCAGCCAAAAAAAAAAAAAAAAAGTAAAGGATAATAGTTTGCCATGTAGCTAGAGATTAGACAGTGCAGTGATGGTAAGTCCTAGATGACTAATAAAAAAGCAAAATACTGTTAACATTCAAAGTTTACCAGTATCCACTTACAGAGCATCTGTTTGGAGCATGGTACCCTCCCATGTATTGTAGAGAAAAGACAAAAAGAGAGCCCCTAGCTAAAGTCCACTATCTAACAGGTCAGTTGTGCTAAAACTGCTTCCTGTTTTAATAATAACCTTGTATTCTTAAAAGCCAAAAGTAATATTCCCTCTTTTTCTCTGATAGATGCTGTGAGAGAAGTAAGAAAATATTCCTCAACTCATGCCATTGAAAGCAGCTCAGCCAGCAGACCTGCTGCCTATGAACATACACAGATGAAACTTTTTAGGTCTCAAAGAAATCTTTACATTACTGGATTTTCATTATTTTTCTGGCTGTAAGTTTTTTAAAAAGCACAATTTAAAAACATGATTTGTGTTTCTCTTTCTCATTTTTTCTACCTATACTATAGTTTTTTTTTCTGTACTATTTAGGACACTAACGTCTTTATGAAAGAACTCAGATGACAGATCCAAATAACAAATTATAACTGTGGTTTGTAGGTTCTATAGGCCCATAACGCCCTGCATGATCTGGCGACTGCTGCTCTGACGTGTACACCATCTTCCAACCACACTGCCCTTCGCTGCTCGTTCATTCATCCATTCTTGCAACAAATATTTATTGAGTTCCTGTTTTGTACCCAGCTCCTTCCTGCTTCAGGATCTTCCCACCAGCTTTCCCTTCTGCCAGAATACTCTTTCCTTCCCTCTCTCCCTGGCTAATTTCTACTTTAGCCCCTTTCTCTGGAAAGCTGAGACCTCTGACCATCATTCCCCCAAAGTAGGAAGGTCTTCTGTTGTACACTCCCATAGAATGTGTAATGTATATACTTTTCTTTCAAGTGTCATTCGTGGTTGTAATTAAATACTGTTTTAATTCTTGCCTTCCCAAGTAGAACCTAAACTCTGAGAGCAGGGCCTCTGTCTTGTTTCCTGCTATGTCCCCAGTGCCTGGCACAGTGTTTAACACTTAGCAGTTCCTGAGGAAATATCTGCTGAATGAATAAATGAAGATAACGATTACTACTACTAACAAAGGAAGTTACCTATAAGTAGAAGTGAATGAGCAGTTTTTAGGTTTGGCCAGCCTCACAAAATGCTCTTTAAATTTTGAGCTGAGGGGGAAAAACTCTTACTGGCCCTGCCACACTGTCTGGAATTCTGTTTCTGCTCGTCCTGGCCAAAGGCCTCTACAGAGAAAATAAGTAAATTAATAAGTACCACTGAACCTGCATTCCAAATGCTAATCTTCTAACGAAGATTCCAAAGAAATGAGACACAGGCTTGTTTTGACTGGAAGACTTGAATTAAAAATATATCTTCCTTCCATAAACATCGCCTCCCTCCACCACGCCCACACCTGAAGGGGAGTCACTGGATAATTATTACTTAAAGTCACAGTTCCTGGTGATTAGTTGCACACTACTCTGACATTTTTTTCATTTTCTTAGAGTGTTGAGACGTCTGGTTACCCTTATTACTCAGCTGGCAAAAGAGCTGTCAAACAAAGGAGTACTTAAAGTTCAAGCAGAAAATACTAACCAGGCTGCCAAAAAATTCATGGAAGAGAATGAAAGACTAAAACGGGTATTTAAATTTTCTTCTTAAAAACTGGTGTAAGTGTTGTTGGTATTCCCAAGGGGTGTTTATTATTTTTCAGCATCAAAAAGAGCATTTTCATAATATATAAGCAGAAAATGACCATAAATAACAATATTCTACAAAATTATTGTTTCAGAAGTATTTTATTATCTTTAAATTTGTGTGTTCTCACAGTTTCCCTCCATAGTAGATTAATGCCATTGGACCTGCTTCCTATGATTCAAGGAGAAAACAGTATTCTGGGAATATGAATTTTAATTCCTTCATTACCATTAATTTTACTTTATAACCTAAAGCAAGTTTTAATAAGTCTCTATTATGTTTCCATTTCCCTTTCAGTTGAATTCCTGTTGGTTTTTTTTTGGTGTGTTTTTTTTTTGTTGTTATTGTTGTTTTCTTTAAATGATGATTATGTAAGAAGCAGATGAAAATAGTTGATATAGATTGATGACTGCATATAATATTTTCAATCTCTAATTTGGTTATGCTGTTGATAATTCTTCTTTGAGAAGCCTATGCTATCTTTCCCTGGCTACTCAGGGAGAGTGTAAATGAGATACTCATGTTTTCCATGTTAAGTAAAAAGAAGAACGAATGGAAAAATGGAAGATACAAAATTACTTTGGGTATATTTTTTCTTAGGTTTAAAATTTAGGAGTCAGATCTCATAGCTTGAGTGTTTTCAGTTCATTTTAAGCCCCATAAGTTTTCCTAATTCTGCTTCTTAGAAAAAAAAAAAATCAGTGGAACCTTCAGAAGTAAAGGTTTCTTCTCTTGAAGAAAGAATTCCTAGTATAATGCAATAAGATTATTTCCCTATTATAAATTAATGAATTACAGTCAATTATATATTACATCAAATTATATTTATGTAAAAAGTATTGTGATCCTAAATTCTAAAGCCCAGCCTCTTACAGAAAGAACTATAAGTGTCACCTTTCATCAATGCTAAATGAGTTAGCTGTTACATAGTACAATATAAATCTTTCTAAAACCTGTGAAATAAGTCAAAACTCATTGCAAAAAAAATTTTTCGATACTACAGTGTCATGGTCACCTATTTAGAAACCCATGTTTTACTTATGATGTCTACCTTATTTTTACTACAAAAACAGGATTCAAAAATGTTTCTTTGGGTAGATTATAACCAGCATCTCTTAAGGAAACTTTTAGAGACTAAGCACCGGTTTATATTTTTACTTCCTTTTGTTGTGTTTTGAAAAAGCATTGATCCATAGATGTCACATAACTTTCCCGTTGTCATAAATATAGGTCTGGGAAATCAAGCTGTTGGTATTTCTGTATTCAGAAGCAAGCAATCTACGTCACTGGAGTGTTTCAGCAGCACAGTCAGCCTTATTTTGTACCTTAATATTATTTGCTTCATTTTCTATCCTTTGATCTCATTTCATAATGGTAAAAACAAAACAAAACCCTCAAGGCTCTTATTAATATATGGTGGCTAAACTCAAAAGCACACAGCCAGTATTTGTAGACTTACCATGTACCGATCTTGATTTACCATGCCCATCATGTTAAATTAGTGAGTTGTAACTACTAATAGAACAGTGCTCTTTTCCTCTTATTCCTGAACTCCAAGAAAATGGAAAGTGTTTTTGTAGTTTTGGTACTGTGATTTTTCTCATATATACCATAATTAATGTACTTAAATTAGTTTTGTCCTTCAGAAAAAGCACGTTCCTTAAAGCATTTCTTTTGGGATTGTTTTCAGAACCAGTTACTAACTTGCAAGGAAATTTATTTCATGATTACTGATTCTTTGATCCGCCACAGTGTCTCCCTTTTTTTGTTCTCCTCTCCTTTGGTTCCATGCTGTCCTGGTTCCCTGCTTCGGCATATCTGTGACCCAGTCAGTGGCCCTAGATCATAAGTGCATAGATATACTGGGCTAAAGCCAGTACACAGTGGGGAGAAAGTCTGCAAGCTGGATAAAAATACTGTCAGTGCCCAAAGCGTAACTGATTAACCATAGGTCAGAATGTCAAAGATGACTTCTACTTCAAGATACTTCATGTAGGTTTTGAAATACCAGCTGAGGAAGGATAAAATTGCTAAAACATCTCTTTGTTCTCTATCAGGGATACATTATCTAATGGAAAGTGCATTACCCTGAAGTCCGAAAGACTTGGGTGCCAGTCCCAAATCTACTGGTAATTAGCCTTGTGACCTGGGGCAAGTCACCTCATTTGTTCTGGGCCTCAGGTTTATAACTAATACCTAACGTTGTTCACATGCTTCACAGTAAGGTATTAACTCTTTCAATTGTTGCAACAATGCTATGAGGTTGGTGTTGTTAATATTTGCATTACATAGATGAAGAAATGGAGGCACAGAAAGGTTAAGCGACTTGCCCAAGATCATTCCACTAATAAGAGACAGACCTAAGGATTGAATCCAAGCAGGCTGCCTCTAAAATCCACACTCTTAACCACATTGTTCTGTGCCCTTCAATGGTATGCTAACCTATGAAAGGACTTTCAGATGGTGCCTGGGACGCATTTCTGTTATGATATTCAGTTAATGAAATGAAATAGTTATGAAAGACCAATTAACTTTTAATTTAACTGCTTTAGTATAACAACAGTGACAGAGCTTTACTTCTTACTTGTTTTCTTCCCAGCCACTTACCAAGGTGGGATTAGGTGGGTGGGACAGTGAACATGTGTATTATTGTAGCTGGTAGCTATTGAATTTCAGATTCCAGGGCTCTTGTTCTTTCTCCAGCATCAAGTTACACAAAATAAAGTTGAACAAGTTGACAGGTGCAGTAATGAAAGCTTATTTACAAGACTGACACCAAATCCAACGTTTCCAAGTCAGTGGCAATAATAATTCAAGCAGACAGGGTAAACATTCCTGTAACTCAGTAGTTCTCTTCCAATTTGGGTAATCACTGGAGGCTGTGTTAACTGAATTCAGTGAAGTAACAGCTAAGATTGTTTTGAACTTGAAATGGTCAACAAACTTGTAGAGATTTGGAGGGTTTATTCCCTAGTTCCTGCTCTTAAAAAAAAATATATATATATATATATATATTTTTTTTTTTTTTTTAATTTTGGAGGTATGAGGCTCCTTCGGTTTTAGTAGGTACTTCAGTCCTTTATCTCCTAAAAAAATTTCTTGGAATTATACAATATATTCGTTCAAGCTTTAATTCCTCCTTTGGATCTGCCTAATCTCTGTTATAACACGGTAGTATTGTATACGATCTTGTGCTGCAGTATCTATGCTCTAGTCTCATCCTTTCCACTAGATGGAAGTTACCTGAGGGCAGAGACCATACTTACATTTTTACTCCTTATAGTACATAGCACTGTAAAATATTTGCATGTAGTAGTAGCAGTGCTCAGTAGAACTTTGTTTTGTTTGTTTAATATATCAGCTTACATTAGAAAAGGAATCACCCTGCAGTAGAAATTCTTTACTGTGTCAGTCTGTTTTAAATTGTCCTGAGTTAACTTTTTTACCTGACTATGGAAGCTTTCCGTATCAAATTGCTGCCTTTTACTTGGTCAAATAACTCATGCCAGTATATACATATTCTGTTTTCCAAACATTAATCTAATTTGCCTTTCTTGGTAACTTAACATCTTACAATTTATTACAAACATAAACATTTTAAAAGCCAGAATAGATTTGAAAATAATAAAGAACATTGTAAAGGATTAACCGAATAAAAGTAATTTGGAGACTGTTCAATGAAAATTAGGTAGAATTGTCCAGGTGAAGAGATGGCCCTGTTATTCTCCACTTACCCATCTCTATCCTGACACCATTATATTCTTCTCTTATGAATTTGTCTATATAGAACTAGTCTGAGTAGACAGCTCTGCAATGGAACATAATGGCTTTCCAAGTAGCACTGTCCCCAGAACTATTTTTTTTTCCATCACGCAATTAAGGAAAAGACATTGTTTATCTAAATACCTGTGAAAATACAATTTTTTCTTTTTGGCTGCGTTGGGTCTTCGTTGCTGCGTGTGGGCTTTTCTCTAGTTGCAGTGAGCGGGGTCTGCTCTTCGTTGCAGTGCACAGGCTTCTCGTTGCGGTGGCTTCTTTCGTTGTGGTGCACGGGCTCTAGGCACGTGGGCTTCAGTAGTTGTGCCACATGGGCCCCAGAGTGCGCGGGCTTCAGTAGTTGTGGCTCGCAGGCTCTAGAGCACAGGCTCAGTAGTTTTGGTACACGGGCTTAGGTGCTCTGCAGCATGTGGGATCTTCCTGGACCAGGGATCGAACCCGGGTCCCCTGCATTGGCAGGCAGATTCTTAACCACTGTGCCACCAGGGAAGTCCCTGAAAATATAATTTTAATTGTAGCCCAACCAGAAACTCTTGTTATTTTCATTTCAGAGATTTCAGTCATAGAAGAAATTTTGTGTGTGTTTGCCAAATATCAAGTTTCTGCTAACAGAAGTTTACATTATAAAAAAGTATAAAATACTGAAAAGGACAAAGAATAAAATAAAGACCAATAATTTAAAATACATTGTTCATCTCTTTTCCTGAAAGAATGGCTACTGCAATCTAATGTTACTTCTTTCTATAACTCTCTTTTCCGACAGCTCTTGAAAAACCATGGCAAGGAAGAAGAACACATTTTGGAAGGGGAAAATAAAAAACTAGCAGAAGATAAGGAAAAGCTGGAAACTGAATTAAAGAAGGCTTCAGATGGTAATGTTGTATGCATGCACAAAAGTAGGAAAAGTATTGTGATATTTTATGCTGTTACACTTCACTGTTTTTCCTAACAGAAAACTCATGGCTAAATGTTCTTCTGGCTAAAATACCACGAGTGACCTATTTATAAATTCCTGCTCAAATACGGAGATAAAACACTGTTTCAGCCAAGAGAAACGTGCTCTGTTATACATACAAACATGTAGGTGTTTCAGATCTGTGTTGTAAATACAGATGTTCCTCCCTTAGCAAAAGAGCTATGTTCCTGAAAAGTTGCTTGTAAACACATGTTTGGAAATGAATCACATTTTTCCGTCATAGTATATTGCTTCTTTGAAAGAAGCAATGACAGGGGGATTGCTTATTATTATTATTTATCTTATCTATTATTATTTATCTTATAATTATTATTATTTATCTTATCTTATTATTTTGGTTATAAGAAAATACCTTGCTTATCTCAAGCCCTAATACTTTCTACCTGCCAGATATAAGGAAAACGTTCCTTGAAAGAGATGGATAGGGATAGAATAAGCCACAGTCTAGGATGCCAGCTGAGAGCTTGAATGTCTCATTCCAAAACACATTGCAGTGAGGACTTGGGGTAGGGCATCCCAACTCCATTTTCCTGAAGGCAGCTATTTCTTCTACATTTTTTGTTTTTTGAAAAATAGCTCTGTTAGTATTTTCTTCTTCTTAGACAAGGAACAAATTATTATTGCCTGTAGCTGCATAGCACAGAAAAGTCCCAAGTCCAGTGTCATCCCAGGAAACTCTGAATAAAAGTTTATGGCTTGACCCCTGAGCAACATTCCTGCATATGACATAGACCTTGATGTTGTCCATATAGTGGGGAACCTCTCAGTCAGAGTCAAGATAATAACCAATGCATAGACCTTCTCCAATTTCAGATCTCTTCCACTACTTTGTGTTGGGAATAACTTGGAGAACGTTCAGTGACTGAATCAAAGACCTACTTTATGCCATTTGTAAGTTTAGATTTTTTTTTAATAGACCTCAGCATAATAGAAGTTTCTGTACTATAAGTTGCTGTTTGATTATCTATGGACATTGTTTGTGTAGAGTTGAGTTCATCAAGATGTATTTGAGGGACTTCCCTGGTGGTGCAATGGTTAAGAATCCTCCTGCCAGTGCAGAGGACATGGGTTCTAGCCCTGGTCCAGGAGGATCCCACATGCCGCGGAGCAGCTAAGCCCATGTGCCACAACTACTGATCCTGCTCTCTAGAGCCCGCAAGCCACAACTACTGAAGCTCGCGTGCCAAGAGAAGCCACTGTAATGAGAAGCCCGCGCACCGCAACAAAGAGTAGCCCCCGCTCAACACAACTAGAGAAAGCCTGCGCGCAGCAACAAAGACCCAACACAGCCAAAAATAAATAAACAAACCTATATGAATAAAAAGTATTTGAATTTGAGATGGAAAGCCTGAAGATAAAAGCTAATTCTGTTTAAAAAAAAATCTGTAGGATATTTCATATATGATATAAAATATATAGTTACTTTCCTACTTCTTATTTAAAGTAAAAAAAGAAAAAGAAAATCATTTAGAGGCAGTAAGTTAAAAAATAAGTAACTCTTCTAGACAAGGTGGTAGATGATGTGATAGGTATAGTATAGCTCAAAATTCTAAATCTTCTCATAGTTGGTGTACTGTTGGCTCTTCTGCAATTCCAGACAATTTGGAACATGATCATGAAGTTTTAACATTTGTATGAAAATAAATTTAGTAATCAGACATTTCAAGTGAGAAATAGTGTTCTTTTTTTACCCAACACAAAATATTGGTGCTAATCCTTCTGAAGAATGCAAGGGACTATTTCCAAAATACCTTTAATTAGTTTTAAAAAATTATTTTAAATTTATGCTTTCTTTTTTTCATATTTGCCAAGGATCCTTTTCCTTATGTTGTAAGCAGAGTAGGACAGAAATAAAAAGACAGACAAGAATAGGTTGTGTGCCATGCTACACCTCTCCTAACCCTGGCCAGCTTAGTTTTTTTCTCCCTTTGCCTTTTAAAAATTCCAACTCTGAGATATTTTGAGCTTCAACCTCACAAGTCTGATATATAACTCTAAACTCGGGGTTATTTTGAGTAGTATAAAGAAACTCAATATTTCTTTAACAGACAATTCAGATGTTTGGAGGAAATGAACTCTTTGATAATACAGGCATTTTGTTTATGATCTGATAACAAGAGATGCCAAGCTTCTGTGTTTGAAGTGTAGACTGCAAAACTGCTTTCAAAGTGAATCAATGTTGAGGTAAAAGCAGATTTTACCTGTTTGAGTATGTCCTGTTTGGTTCCTGCAAGGTGTGTAGTATTTTATGAACATATTTTATTTTAGATAACATTGTTACTGACCTTGAGAAAATCAAAGTTCCATTTCTAAAGGAGGTATAACCCTGGCTATGTTCTCTTTACCTATACCAATCAAATTCATTAAGACAAGAACTAAGAAATAAATTAGTAGTACAAGATTTGGATGAATTCAGCAGCACAATGCTTTGTACATAGTACCATTCAAATATGTTCATAGATTTCTAAAAATTGAGGGTATTAAGGCTGACAGTGCTTAAGAAATGTTTTAGCAAGTTCTTTTATTTTTGAAAACTGAGTAGAAAGACATTGTGGTTTGTTTCTTAACAGAGGTAGAGTATTTTCCATATGTATGGTCTTACCCTTAGTGTTTCTTTAATCTAAGTGAAACATTTTCTCCAAATATATTAGCAGAAGTAAAGCATAAATACAAAATGTCTGTTTAAACTCATTCAATCCAAATTGGAAAAGTGCTATTCTGAAGGCAGGTATTAAGAGCACTCACTCTATCAGTAGTGCCAAAATCTCCATCAGTTTTAGACCACCAGCTTAGATTTTTGACCAGTTAGTAAGTTACCCATGCTTCAGTGCAGTAATATGACCCTAGTGAGCCAAATGAGAGCGTGCATGTCCCCAAGCACCCAGTTTACACTCAGGACTAACTTAGTCAGGTGTAAGGACCTGATCTGTCATTTTTAATGATTTGTTTAATGGTAACTCTGATGTCCCAGTGTGTGGAGTAATTGGGAAAGGGCAGTGCCATGAAAAATGAGACCTTAGGCTCTAAAGAACTTACAAAGTTCACAAGCCCTCATAATAAAAATAGACCTTGTATGTAGCGGAAAACCTTCTGATATCCAAGGAGATTGACTTTGAAAGACTCTTCCAGGAGAGCTTCCCAGTATTTATTCTTAATACTTTCCCAGTATTTATTCTTTTTTTAATTAATTTCTTAAATTTATTTATTTTATTTACTTATTTTTTATTTTTGGCTGCGTTGGGTCATTGTTACTGCGCACAGGCTTTCTCTAGTGGCGGCGAGCGGGGGCTACTATTTGTTGCGGTATGCGGGCTTTTCATTACTGTGGCTTCTCTTTGTTGCAGAGCATGGGCTCTAGGTGCAGGGGCTTCAGTAGTTGCAGCACACGGGCTCAGTGATTGTGGCTCGCGGGCCCTAGAGCTCAGGCTCAGTAGTTGTGGCACATGGGCTTAGTTGCTCCGCGGCATGTGGGATCTTCCCGGACCAGGGCTCATATCCATGTGCCCTGCATTGGCAGGTGGATTCTTAACCACTGCGAGGAAATATGTACCATTCAGTCATTGCGTGCATCCAGGCGGTGGTAAAAGTGGATACAGTTTTGAAAGTGATCGAGTTGCCTGTGGACGTGTTGCTTCCTCATTCCTTTAGGAGCAGTAGTATACCCATAACATGCTACATTGAAAGTTACCAGGGCTGCCATTCTAATAGTAGAGGTTGAGTAGTATTGTATTTCTCCTACATAAAGGGAAAAGAAAAAGAAGAAAATACAAAAAAGTGATTGAGGCAAATTCCTTGACCCTGCCCTTATTCTTTCTTTCTTCCTTCCTTCCCTTCCTTTTCTTCCTTCCTTTCTTTTTCTTTCTTTCTATCAGCAATTTTTTAGGAACTATTCATATAACTTATTCATTGTAAGATCATTTAACATGGAGCATAATTAAAACTGTCCTTAAAAAGCATACCTATTGAGGGACTTCCCTGGCAGTCCAGTGGTTAAGACTCTGTGCTTACAGTGCAGGAGATGCGGGTTCCATCCCTTGCCAGGGAACTAAGATACCACATGTCACACTGCACAGCCAAAAAATAAAAAGCATACCTATTGAAGATGAAGCAAATTTTTATTTTATTTATTTTTCTTCCAGTTTTATTGAAATATAGTTGACATATGGCACTGTACAAGTTTAAGGTGTGCAGAGTAATAATTTGATTTACATGCATCATGAAGCAATTATCACAATAAGTTTAGTGAACATCCTTCATCTCATACAGATACAAAATTAAAGAATAGAAAATAATTTTTTTTCTTGTGATGAGGGCTCTTAGGATTTCCTCTCTTAACAACTTTCATGTATGACATACACCGGTGTTAATTCTATTTATCGTGTTGTATATTACATCCCTAGTACTTATCTTATAACTGGAAGTTGGTACCTTTTGCCTGCCTTCACCCAATTCCCCCTCTCCCCCCCGCCCCTCCGCCCCCGCCTCTGGTAACCACAAATCTGTTCTCTTTTTTATGAGTGTGTTTGTTTTTGAAGTATAATTGACCTACAACACTGTGTTAGTTCCTTTTACACAACATAGTGATTTGCTGTTTCTATACATTTCAAACTGATCACCACGATAAGTCTAGTCAAGTCTAGTTACCATAAGTCACCATACAAAGATATTACATAGTTACTGACTGTATTCCCCACACTGTACATTTCATACCTGTGACTCATTTATTTTGCAACTGGAAATCTGTACTTCTTAATCTCCTCACCTATTTCTTTCTTCCCCTTACCTCCCCTCCCCTCTGGCAAACACCTGTTTGTTCTCTCTATATATAAAACTCTGTTTATGTTTTGTTATGTTTGTTAACTTTTTTTAATTCCACGTATAAGTGAAATAATACAT